GAGTACTTTCAATTTTGCTCAATATCGGGGTTTCAGTTTTAGCAAGATGCTCATTTCAGAGATGCTCTGAACTTTATCCAAGTCAGGTTAATGCTGACTTGGAACTGACTGCACCATCAGAAGCAAAGATAAGTTACCTCCTGGCTCTAGAATGGGGAGTCCTGCCACTACTCCTCGCTCCCTGGGGTGCAGTAGTGGGACAAGCCAAGGATCTCAGTTTCAAATACAGTTCTTACCCAGGCAAGGTGTGATGTACTTCCCTGTTCTGTTATCAGTGCCAGATGTGACAAGCCTTAATCTTTACAGATTGTTTTTATTCTGCTAGTGTAAGCTCTAGACAAATTATGTCCTTTCAGTATTTTGGACTAAGTGAATCATCCTGGAGGCTCTGCAGAAAGGGAAGTAGATTGCAAGTCACAACACAAATTGCCACATCAGTGATTTTAGCACCAGTAACTGCTTTGCATTTCCATACCCATGTTCTCATGGGCTTTCTTATTCTTCTTTGCAATCTGCTCTGTTTTCCTAAAGTTTCTGGCACCATTCAATTTTTGCTTATATAGCTAGATACGTCAGCTTGCCAAAGCCCGCTATGCGTTTTCTGTACCAGTCACTGTGGCATGGTCAGACCCAGCCTGTTTCTTTGGTTTTCTCCAGCTGCTGATCTTCAACTTTGATGTCAGACTTAGAACTCATTTCAGAAAAAAATAATAGTTTTAAGTGTATAATATGTGCAAGAGCCACAATAAGGTTACCTTGCCAAAATCATTCATAAGTAAGTAAAAATTAGTGGGTGGGTTTGGCGGTTCTGATTTTTTTCCCAGATGCTAGGACAGGTCATAGCTCACTGTCCCGTTCTTAGATTACCTGCAGCATTACAGCCATGATCTTAATCTATTTTTTGTTAACTCTGTTAAATGAGTAATCCAACCAAATCACCTTAAGAAAAACAAACAAAGTGTTCTTTTCCCTCACGATGTGGAGGGAAAAAAAAAAAGGTCTGAGCATGGTGACAATAGGCAATTGTAACATCTGCTACCTTTTAAACAATGGAAGACAGGATGGAGGAAACAGGGATAGAAAACCGAGAAATACAAACCCAGAGAAGATGAGAAAGAGGAAAACAAGGTAAACAGAGGAAGGAGAGCTCGTAACTAGGCAAAGGCAAGGCTAAAGGACTGGTGTTGGTGGTGGGTGGGGAGTCGTGTCACTTGGCAGCAAAAGGCAAACATCTCCCTGCAGATGGAGGCTCTTCAGTGGCTGCTTGTTGTGGTAAGGACTGGTGAGCAGTAGCGTGTTGGTCACAGTGCTTGAGGAAAGGCTGCAGGCAGCGTTGTTGGCTCGTTCTTGGGAAGGTGCAGGTGCTCCCCTGTGTTGCTCTTTCCACTCCCATGCCGATGGGGCAGCCACTTAGTGCTGGAGTACAGCAGCTAACACCAGCGGCCGCTGTTGCAGTGCATGCATGTTTGGTAACAGAGAGAACAGGGTAAACAGAAAAATGCTATGTAACTTTGAGAGCTCACCTAAAAGAATTTAAAGGTGTTTCGTTTTTGTTTTTTAATGCTACTTGTCTTTCCCCCATAAACCAAGCATGGATTTGTTTTAATAGGCCTTTTCTGCTTTTTATCCTTATTTTAGTTTCCTGTGCAAATGGGCTTAAATGCTTTCTTTAAACAAACAAGTATTAAACCAAAGAAACGTTATACTTTGGAAACCTCTTCACAACCAGCCTCCTTCATTTACTGCCTCTTCCAGTTCTTGGCTGTTGAGACTTCATTCACCAGTTCTTGGTTCTGTTCCTGACCATGTGCAGCTCTGCAGATGATGGACATGGCTACAGCTGTCTTTGGTCCATCCCTGAGCTCAGGTGTGGCCAGATGATGAGGATGGCCATGTATCTGCAGGGGGCAATGTCAGATAGATGTGGGCTGAGTTTTCCTGCAGTGGTTCCTTGTCTCAGGCCTCCAAATGCATGTGTTGTTAAGTCAGGGGAGAGGAATGTAATACAGGCCTATGAATGCACAGCAGTAGAAATCGGTGAAGTAAATCATTGCAAAGTAAGGAAATACTAAGTTAAGGAAAACTTTACATTAAAAATCTGAACTCATTACAGGTGCTGCTTAAATGACTAAACTTGACTTTTATGGGTAGTGACTCTTGGTAAGAAGCACAACATCTGTGCACAGGTCTCTGAACTGCTTCCTGGGTACCTGCTAGAGGACAGCTGAGTTTGGGATGTGACAGCTGGAGTGTGTGTTTGTATGTGTTTGGATTCCTCTTCCAAAAGCCAAAATGCAGTTTTGTTTCTATTGCTTGGTGTGGGATAACCTCAAGACCCTGCAAAGCAATTTTGCCTTTTATTTACTTGTGGTTGTCTCTCTTGCTTTGGGCATAGATGTTATGTGGAGGCTTACTTGAAAGGAAGAGGAACAAGAATCAAAAACCAAACTTGGCTTTTTTTTTTTTTTGTGATAGCAAAAAAAATATTACCGTTTTAGTTCCATTGTTTTAAAGATGTGTCTGACTCACACCATAGTATGCTATTCTTTGTGCTCAAATACTGATAGGAACACCATGGCACTGCAGTCCCCACAACTTGCCCAGGATTCAATGTCTTCTCTGACTTTACTCCATTCTTAAAAGCTTGTTGTACCCACCTAACTTCCGGTTTTAAACTAGAGGATTAACATTGCTTATGCTTTACCTGTTTTTCATAACGTGAATTCTTTCACAGGGGACAAATATCCCAGTTATTTCATGTAACTGCAAATTTCATAAGGCTAGTGCCAGCATCAGGTGTTCCCACAGCAGGAATAAGGCAGGAGATGAATGATTAAGGATAAAGATGTAGATTACTGAAGTAAGTATTGCATTGGTGGGTTCTGAAAAAGGGATTTGGTAAGGGTGTATTTATGTTGAGTCCTCTGTATAAGCTGTTCAGAGGGCAGAGTTTCCCATGTAATATCCAAAAAATTATTTGGTATTTTTTGCCATTATTCTTGATTTTTTTTTTCCTCCCCCAGGAGCCAACTTCCACTCCCCCCACCCGCCAAAACCAAAACAAAATAAAAACCAAAACCAAATAAATATTTCTTCATATGTAGTGGCTGTGAGAGGTCAGTCAACTCTAACCACAGCCATGCTCGTACTACAGTGACATGCGATACAAAACATTATGCTGCTGAAAATGAATTTTACATTAATGTATTTAGTTGCAAATTCATGAGCTTGGAGGGGAGCATCTTTTCATGCCCACCAGATAAAAAGAGGGCATTTATTCTTCCCAAGAAACAGAGCAATTAAATATCTTCTTCCAGCACATTACTTAACCATCTGAACACGTAATCCTCAGCTCTGGAGCTGTAAATGGTCCTTCCATTAGTTCTATGAGTTTTCCAAGCACTAGTCATGCCTAGGACATGCACTATATAATGTTCTTTGGGAATATAATAAACATACTTTCTAAAGAAACTCCAGGCATGAAAACTGGCACAAATTGCATAAAAAAAAAAAAAAAGGTTTTCTGTACTTTTATGAAATGGTGGTGCTCTTGGGTAGTACCTTCCATATTTCTGTTCTGTTTTTTCTCTTTACTCGCTGCTACTTAGCGTTGTATTGTGTTTTCAGGCTCAAACTAGCTAGTCTCTTTTTAAAAAAAACAACCAACAACATTTCTGGTATATTATGAGCTTGGTTTATGCTTTTTAGTTCAGTTATGGGTATACAGCATATTATAATAAGTAACGGAAATGCTGCATTACTGATTTTTGAAGAAAGTTAATGCGTTTATAATGTAAAATTTCATGTAAGAACACACAAGACCACAATGATCACTTAAAATAACGTAATAATCTAAGTAAATACATTAGAAGTATTCCCTTTAAAAATATATACACTTTTAGCTTTGTGGGTGGGTTTAATCATCTTTTTTTTTTTTCAGAGAAAAGTCAGCAGCTTGCCTTATGCTAAACATTGTACAATAGGTTGTAAGACATCAAAGCTGTTGAAATTCAGCAATGGAGGTAGCAGTAGTTCATTGCTGCCCTTACAAATTGTCTTCTCATCTCACACTGAAAAAGAAAAATAGCTTCATGGTGGCAGCTATTTCTGCAAGGGCAGCTAATGAAGGCGTTGGAAAATTCTACAGAAAACAACACAAGAAAAAAAAATATTTCAGCATTATTCCTTATGAAGCAAGAGCCTGTCCTCTGCTACTCTACTCCCATCAGGTCACCTTAGGAAAATATTTTACTGTAGTACTTTAAGCTTAAAATCCAGTTGTCTGTTTAGATTTGTTGTGTTTCATTATGGAGTGTGTCAGAGAGTCCCTTTTGCTTTAACCAAAAAAAAATATATATATTTTGAACTAGTCCAAAGGTATGGTCATGTATTACTGTAATAAGGATCATGGTTTTAAGTGTACTCCATTTTGGTTTCCACCATGAACATCTATCCCCTGTAACAATGTTGTATGTTTATTTAAGGTATATATATATTATATATATATATATATATAAAATTAAATGTCAGATTTTTGCATTAAGATTTTTTTAAATTTGAATATAAGCCTTGAGTACTTTATTTCACAAACAATTTTAAAAATGCTTTCCTGGAGCATTAAGTTTCAGAATTCAAGACTATATTTGTCATATTTAATTTAAAAATATGTAGCTCTTATTGTTTCCTGATATATAATGTAAATATTTGTAAAAATAAATTCTTTTGTATATTTTTGTGAAAATGTAGTTCCCCAAAAGATAGAAAACATTTAATAAAAAAGTGCGTTCATCTTACCGCTCAACATTTTCCATTATTACAAATAGTCGTTAATATACATATGGTAACCCACTGGGAATTTTCACAGAAGCTTCTTCATATGAGTTGTTTACAAAGTGTGTCCAGTAGGAAGAAGTGTTGGAAAGAAAAAAAAAAGTTCAGAAACAGATTCGGAGAGAGACTTTGTCTTCCAATTATAAATGAAGATACCTGAAACCATTTACTTTCAAGTAAAGTGTTATTTAATTTCCTAGGGTTTCTGAACTGAGCACACCATCACTGTTTCATTGTTCTCACTTATGAAACATTTTTGTGCCCTTGCTTGCCCCTGTTTAAGAAAGTAGCAGAGGTATGATGACCATTACATGGAAATGATACCCCATTACTCATTCACAAGGAAAAGACAGCTAAGGAGTTCAATGTTTGCCAGGACAGTTTCATACATCATACCAAACAGCTGATTAAAAAATAAGAAAAAAAAATTATAGTATGACCTGAATACAGGAATAAACTTCCTAACAATTTCAACACACCTAATCTTAAATGAGAAACATTACTCAAATAGAACACAGGCTGTGCTTTGAAAGTTTTTAATGGAATTTAAAGTAAATCTATTCTTACACAGACATCTTACAGTGTAAAAAAAATGTAAAACTGCTCAAACTTACAAACTTGGAAAATTAGAGACATTTCAAGTATGCAATCAACTTTGTTTTATGAAAACAATGTATATTAAAAGTTCAAAATGCATGAATTTTTCTTACATCCTGTGCCCCTGGCAGTTAATTGTCTTTTCTGCTACCGGCCGAAGGAAGCAAAGTTCAGTCCCCAGTTGTATCCTCATCATTCACTGAGGGGAAAGAGAGAAACAATTCCCGTAAGTAACCACCCTCCAATTCCGTAAAGGTGATTTGAGAACTGTTACCCCTGTGGCAATTAAGACCTTTTCAAATGAGATTAGGTGGAATAAGAGACTCAGGCAGTCTGAGTATCTTTAAGATAGGCTGATGACCGCAGATTTGGGAATTTTGATGCTTATTTATGAAATTGTGGATAGATGACAGGAAGAAAACCTCCTGGCCTGAACAGAGAACTGCCCTGTTCACAAACACTGCAGAGAAGCCTCAGAACATTTTGTGGTAAAGACAGGTTGGACAGAAGATAAAACCATAGTACAGAATAATTGGTGTTGGATTTTCAGCTTTATTCCACTAAAACTTGTGGTGGTAAGCATGACATGTCTAGGTCAGGATTCTAGTACCTCTGCCCAATCCTAACTTCAGGGCGCTTGTTTTCCAGCACTGCATAACATTAAGAAATGTTTGAAAATGTTTGAGATACTAAAAACAGACAGTACAAAGCTCTCTTAAACGAAAGGGCTGTAACAGGTATCTTCCTTCACACAGTCTTGGCTATTGATCACCCACACTTGACTTCTCTAAGATTACATTTGTGACATAAGTATCTGTAAGGCTGGAGCCCCTAGACTTAACTAAGAAGAATAAAAAAAAACAACACCACTTACCTGGTTTGGGTTCGAGTCCATTTCAAGGCATGGCGTGGAGGTACAGTAATAGTTGGATGGTAGAAAGTGCAGTCTGGCCTTGTGCACTGGGTATTAAACCTACAATGCTAAAAATGAAAGCATTTTAGAAGAGGTTACTCAAAGTTGCCTTCTGCACTCCCAAACAAGCTAACCTCAAAAGTTACATGAAAATTTGTTTTACTGTATGATCTCTCTGATAATTGAATCAATAGCTTTGTAGGCTACTGCTATCAGTTCAACCCAGTGCCAGGAGGAAATCCTTTTTCACCGATATTAACTGTGAGTTAAATGCTCCATACCCCCAGCTGAAATGACAGGTGAAACTGCCTTGCTTTAGGAGTTTACAAAGCAGTGTCAATTGACCCATGCACATGGGCGCTCCTCTCTCTTTCAGATAATGCTGTGGAAAAGCTATCTGGCTAATATCCGTGAACAGAGCCCTGGGCACCCAGTCGCAATTCAGCACCGTTAGAGATTAAAAAAAATAAATAAAAGCACTAAACTTACTGGTATAAAAAAATATGTGCAGGCACAATTGTCCTGTATAAAATTACCTGAGTTAAAATGTGAAAAGTAAAAGCAAGAAGTCATGCTAATGATATTTCCTGACTCAAAGTAGCATATTTCAAGTATTTTCATAGAAAAGAAGGAAAGACATAAGAGAGAATTCTTACTTTTGGGTGGTAAAATGGGCATTCCATTTTTTTACAGGCAGGAAAGAACTTGCACAGCGGACTACTGGAGGATGGAGACTGTGTGGGTAGCGGTACTAACAGAAAAGAAAAGAACAGTACCTGAATCAGAATAAACTGTTGTGTTTTTTTTTTAATACGATTCCACAAAAAAATTAAGTATCTCAACCATTTCACAAGAAATCACATTTTATAATATAACAAAGCTCCGCAAAAAACATGGGGAGCCTCTGTCACAGCATACTAAGTGGATCTCATCCTGTGGTACAACAGGGATATCAGGTAATTGTTAGCCTCGGCTCTTCACCATTGCACAACAGAGGTGCCGTGGTCATGGGCAAAGCTTCCAACAAATTATGTGGTGATTCTGGTAGGCAGAAGAATTCCTGTGTTGAATTTAGCCAGCCGGAAGCCTGCTAGTTTAAGCTAATAGGAGTGAAAAGTGCAGGCAGCGCACTTTCCAGGAATACACAGGAGCTGCTGGAACTGACACAGGAGATAAGCACATTGTCCTCTGCCTTCTGGCCCCGTAACAAAACCGTGCCATACTGTGAGTCAGGGCTACACCACTTCCAAAAGATCACAGCTTCAGTGGTGTAGAGGCCCTCTGCCTTGGCACTGCTCAAGAGTTCAGGAATACCAACCAACATTTCAAGCACAGCAATTGCATTCACTGGGCAACCTCACTCTCTGAAAGTCATCTCATCATTACATAAAGTTAACTCCTAGAGTGTGATTAAAGAAAAAAAATGTTCATATAGTTCAAAGGCAGAAACTTCCACTTTGTGTCATAAGCTCTTGGTAACACATGAATCCAGTCTGAGAAAGAAATTTGAACAGAACTGCAACGCTGGCTAGCCCCTCCATCAAAAGGGACTACTTGTGCTTTGGACAGAGGGTAAGATTCCATACAGACTCTTGCCTAACAGCATTCAGGGGGGTTTCTGAATGCAAACACAGGTTTTGCTGTAACACCGGATTCATCTAACATTAATACTTCCAAGAAAATTAAGTGATATCAAGCAAAAAAATATTTTTTTCACTGATGTCAGTTCCTGCTTCCAGCACGCTATTCTCCCGTCAGCACGTTCAGCAAGGCTCAGGCAAACAAGAGGTGGTTTGTCTCACCTGGTTTGGGAGGCGGGAGGGGGTTCCTTCGACTGGCGTGAGTGTAAGGGCAGTCTGGCTTGGTGCACTTTGCATCGTATTTACAATTCGGATGGATGAACAAGCATTTATCAGCAAACTTGCAGTTAGGAAAAACTCTGAGGGAAAAGAAATTCAGACATCAGCTCATACTCAGAGGAAAATCAAGCAGCTGTTGCACGCGAAGGCCAGAACATCGCACAACGTTGAAAACTACAGCAGGGCTTGCATGTGCATGTTGGTTACTTCCACAGTAATATGTGGACATGTGACATACACTACCTGACCTGCATTCACTTCCCCTGTATAAACTTCTTACGTGCAGTAAATAAGTGAACTACTTCACACTCTGTGGAGTTTGGTGGCAAGCTGCCTGTTGCGAGCTAAGACTTACTGTGTAGGGTAGAGCAGCAAAGGCACTGTGAATTCAGACATTTGCATGCAGAGAGAAGAAGGCACAGAATCCCAGAGTAATAGGGCTCATTCATGAAGAGAAAATGTTAATAAATTTAGGTATGTTGGATTTTAAAGGAAAATTCTAATTTTTGAGTAAATGAAGCCACCCAAGCTGGTAACGCTTATCTCAAAACAAAAATTATTCTTCTAGGCTGTTGCAGCTTGTGCAAGAGAAGTCCAATGCACAGTGCACATTCCCAAGTTAACCTTTGCTTTCAAACTGAAAATTACTGCATCACCAAATAATGGTACCCTAACACACTGAAAAGCATTGTGAGGTCTAGCAGAAGAGTGCCCATTACCTGGTTGCTGTCACTACTGTAACACATTCACACTGCCTTGGAATGTTTACTAACACAGAAGGGACATTTGGAGCACTGAAGTAAAAAGAATAACACAACGTCAAGTGGATGAGCTTTGTGCTACTCACTTGCAAGGTAGCGTGGGGTGATGGTACACACACTCGTCTCCATTTTTACAAGCAGGCCAGTACTTGCAGCGCTCAAGCACCTTCTCCTGTTTTTGCAGCATGTTCAATTGTTCCATTTCCACTACAAAAGAAAGAATAAAATGGTCAATCTGAGACCTTTGTGGTTGCACATACATTTTGACTTACATAGTGTAGCATAATTAGAATTAAAAATATTTCCTGCTCTCCCCCTTTAGCTCAATTGTTGATAAGTCTTAATTCAATTTACTCACAAATCCAAACAGAGGTACGAGTCAAAGAGACCAGGTCTCAGTAAGACAAGACTAAGAAAAACATTCTTCAGCTGAACTTCAGTTACGCTGTTCTGCTGAGCCATGTGTTAACAGAGCCCTGCTTCCTTTCTTCAAGCCAGTGGAATGGAAGGGACACGAACTTAAAACTCCTACAGTACTTAATCTCCCCCACAGGTCTCCCATAATTGTGTTACAGATTCGAAGATACCTGGATCCAGCTGTAGAGTTCTCTACAGAATATCAATTACTCTTAATTTAATTCAGAAATGTTGGATGCAGTGTTACTGTGGAAAATAAAGGTCTTCATAAGAAAACTAAAAACCTGAATCCAAGCATAACCTTAAGGCAAGTATACAACAGGTGTACAGTAAAACAATATCCTCTATATTTTTCATCACGGTTTCAAAACAGAGTTCTAAGCAACTGGAATACATGCTTCAGCCAATGATTTCCCACGGTATTCAAAAGATATCCCAAATAAACAGCGTTCAGATAAAATCATGTACTGCTTCAGTTCTACTTTTAGAGATTCCAGCAACTGAACTCTGCCAACACCTTACACTTGAAAGGCAGCTCTTGGTATCATGAATCCAGACAGAAGCATTAAGGTTAATACCAACTGACATATCTGTTAAAGTTCAAGGCACAGCAAAACATAAAATCTGTCCATCGGCATGGGGACAAATGATACTGGGCTACCCAGAAGTGCAGATTTCTGCCAGTGAAGGAAAACTACATTTTTAAAGGAAAACAAAAATTACCAGTACTGACCAGTGTGTTACCTATATGCAGGAATGCTCTCCTTTATCAAGGACAAAGGCCTCTAATGATGTGAGGCCACTGAACTACAACCACTTGCCTAAAGGATGTTCTCATACAAAAAATAAATACCATCACTTTGATTTTTCATGAATGATAATGCCCAGGAGTTCTACCCACAATCAAACCACCACATTAGTACCATATCCTGCTGGAACCAGTAATTACCATCAGAGCTCTCTAGCTGCCTGGTTACAATCTGCATCTGCTGTGCTCGAAGGCCTTTTAATCCTTTGCCTGCACAAATATTTTGGGTAACTGGCTTTAATCCTTCAGTTATGCACATATCTTCCTCTTCTTGATCTGAAAGGTATCCTGGTGGACTGGGCACACCATCCAGCGTCACGATGAACTTGGGACTAGCAGGTTTCTCTGGCTGTGCAAGCTGGTCTCTATCAAACAAAGAAACAGATTTTTATTCAAGCCTCCTTAGCCAAAAAGTGAGTTGTACTAACAACTACCAGTACAAGCTAGAGAGTAACACAGTAACGAAACTTTCTTTTAAGACTAACAATAAAAGACTTGGATTAAAAGTTTGCCTTCTGGTGTCTCTGAAGCACTGGGAAGTAACACAGAATACAGTGGCACACAACACAGACTTTGGCATTGCAACATTTCTGTTTGTTGCATTCTGCTTAACGGCTTGATCAAAAAGCTCATTTACTGACACACTTGAATAAAGGAAAGTGATTAGCCTTTTCCGGAATTTACACTTTCGAGACCAAAAAAGTGAGGGTAAAAACGTTCCTGCAATCATGAACTTTTTAACACAAAAACCAGGTGTCTCCTCAAAAACACAGAAACAATGGGCATAGAAGTTTTTTGGGTGAAAAGAGTCTTGAAATACTGACACTAAGAACTTTAATGCTCAGCCTGATCAAAAGATCAATCTAGCCTGTTACACCCTGTATCTGACAGCAGTCAAAGGCGATAAAGAGTAAAACAAAAAAAAAACAAAACAGGAGATACACACATGTTTTCTCCACTCTTCCACTGTCCCATACATTTCACCCAAGTGATTTCCTGAATGGGATGATTCTACATATTTGGTAACTATAAACCTTGCTTATCCATGAAATCAGGCTAAAAGCAACTACAGTCTATAATGCCTCTAAAAAGAGAGAAAAGCAACACTAACAGCATGACTAGCCAGGAGTCTGAAGTTAAACAGTCAGAAACAGTTCTGTTCAGAAGCAAAAATTCACTTCTGTCTTGTAGCACAAAGTCCCAGCTGCCAACTGTTAGTTATCCTTTTGGTTTGTTCATCATTGTTTTCATTTTTAGTTAACACAGGCTGTTTAAAGCCAACCACAGGAACGAAGCTTAAGTTTATCTAACACAGTGAGAGAGCACAGCAGTCCACAGTGATGTACCTCATGTTGCTCTGGGTGATTTTCACTTAACAGGTAAGGTGCACACAAACACAGATAAAACTACTTGGAAGCAGGAATACCAGGTCCTTTAATGAATTAGAAAAGTATGCACTGTTCATTCTTTAGAGTAAATGAAAAGACATCTACAACATATCCTTTGCAACTGAAGAGAACTTTAAACTTCTCTTGGCTGAACTTGTAACATGCCTTAAAACACCTGTCCCCATACTACTTGTTTCTTTGCTTATGGTACTGAGCTATGCAGAGAATGTGCTGTCTTCCCCCCAGAAAAGGGCTTCATGAAGAAATGTAATCTCAAGGTGGAACAGATGTAAACTAAAGGCTATTTATGCAAAACAACTACATACTTAAGATTTCAAAAATCTGAACAGCTATGATAAAAACACAGAAGCAGAAGCCTATTCAGTTCTTTCTTCTGTTTTCTTGAAAACCAAAGACAAGCTCACAGTACAGCTGGCCATGGGAATTCTTTTCAATTTAAAAGCATTTTTGGGGCTTTGCCCCTGCTTTCGGTCACCCCACTATTCACTGTCGATCCATTTTCCATGATTACCCAGATCTTCACCTAACCTATAAATCACAGGAATGGATCAATTATTCCACTAAATCTCAAGCAAACATTCTGACTAGTAAGAGTCCTAAAAAAAATTAAAATGTTTTACCGTGTCTGTATTAGACGCCCTGAGAGTACTCGTATCGCCTCGGTAGCCCTCTTTCCTAGTTGCTGATTCTGTGGCAGTATTTCCTCAGATAATTTGGGCTTCTTCAGGATAAATGACCTAGTATCTGTATGGACCATAGATTCTGCATCATAGTAGTCTGAAATGGGAGAAAAATTACATAGAAAATAAGACAGATAACAACGATCATGTAATTGTACTCTACCTTTGGGCATAATTAAAAATCAAAGTATGTAAATTAAAGGTTTACATGCCAATGAGCTAATTCTCTTTTGTTTAAAATTCTTAGCAGCAACTTCCAGAAAACATTTTTACTTCCTTGCTTATTCTACAAAAGCAGGAGCCATAGCCCATATTAGGCCTGATCAGGAAACTTTGTACTGGCCTGTAACAATGCAGTGCTGAAACAGCACTAAAGACCCATACACACAACACCTCCCAGGCTTTGAACACATACTGATATAACACTTATTTTCCTTAGACACAGAGACTGGGAAAATACTGAAAACAGTAAATTAACTGAAAACAAAATTTCATTTTAGCATTTCCAGACCATTGGCATTCAATCTGAGAATGAGCTATTCTTCTTTAGGAATAAAAAGATCACAAGCTTTAACCTGGAGTTACTTGCAAGGTATCCTCAATCACAGGATCAACCTGGAGCCGAGAAGAGAGTTCCTTTTGTTCAGCTCCTAAAATAAACAGAAATTAGGAACATATTTTACTACATGTCAAAATGAAACTCTAGATTAATGAATAACACTATAAATGAAACTATAGAACTGAAACATATGCTCCCCTAGTTCTTCTGATTAAGAAAGATCAAAACACGTTTACAACTCCCAGAAAAAGTCTACCATTCTCATAGTTAAGAACCCCTCTCCATTGTGTTTCAGAAATAACAAGTTTTCTCCAGACAGATGGCATGGCAAAATCCCAATACTGAACGACTCTTTCCCACTATTATGACTCAGTGCAAACTTGGTCTGTGGATATGGAACTTACAAAGGCCAAGTTCTTTCCTCCTCCTTTGTGAAGGTGCTGACCATTCAGAGAACACACACAGGAAAGCAGCTAACTACAAGGGACTACTTTATGGTCTTCTCATAAGAGGAGAAACAAATCATAACGGGAACATCCTACATTTGACTGATGGTTTGAGAAAAATATTTTGCTTTCTCTAAGTTTCTTAAGTAAGCTTCCATTTCCATTTCAGTTGGAAAAGAGCCAAATTATTTATGCTAAATATTTTCTATATGTTAATTCAAAAACTGAGAAAGCTTCTTACGTATTTTACAGATACAATTCCAAATATTTTATGTTGGCAGAAAGATTCCACATACATCCATACAAAAAATAAGAGACTAAAAAAATAGGTCCTTTTGTTTCAATAAGGAATGTTTATGTGAGTTGATACAACAAAGCTCTTAAACCAAACTTTGCTCAACAATCTAAATACTCAGTAAGAGTAAACTAACTCCTTACAGAAGCCTTTTCCTACCACTTTACTTCTGCAATTCCTTGTTAACACCCACACAGAAGTTTCTTTCATGCTGAAAAGATACTTTGACTACTTTCATATATTATGCCATTTTTCTTACAGGAGTTTCATAACAGAAGTAAAATATAGCTTACTGTTCACACAGTTACCCTGATATCAGCCATCCTGTAACAGCAACTACAGTGCTCTAATACCAACACAACAGAGTAAAACAAACTAATTGTATGATAACACCACTTCGGAAAGAATCTTTTGATACTTCAAATGCTACAAATTGTTCCAAACATACAGTATCTTAACTGTCTCCCACAAGCTTTATGACAGCATTACTCCTACAACGTATCAAGGAAAAAGCACAAAGGACTGAGAAAAGATAAGTCACCCCAATATAAATAGATAAATTCACTTATTACAAAATTATTCTTCAGCAATATGCTAGAATTCGCTCACTGAGTAATTCATCTGAGGTTATCCATGCATATAGATACACCCTGCAGCCACACTTCAGAAAGTTTACTGGTTTTCAGGCCATTTCCACACACAACTCTTGATGCTGACTTAAAAATTAAAAGCATTTCTTTTCTCTTCTCAGCCTGCTGTAAAGTGACATTTGCTGGTATAAACTTTTAAAGAATATTATCAGATGACCTTGTATGCCTTCCGCTGTCTGCTCCTTTGGCTCTTCTACTTGAAGCTGAGAACTCAGAGTGGGGATCCTGCTCTGCACATGGATTACTTCTAACTGAGATTCTTCTGGGCTAATTCGAGCTCTTGGTGCAACTGGAACAGTTTGTTTCTGTGGAACTTTAAATAAAGGTAAATCATTTATATATAACCCAATCACCCAACAGTACTATTTTTACCTATGATGATAAAATCACTCTAAGTTACAAAAAAAAAAAAAACCTCAAGCATCCGTTTAGACAAAAAAGGTCTTTAGCTACCTGTAAGATCCTCACCGTGAAAGCACATGCATGGATGTGCACAGAACACTCAGTGAGCTGTAGCTCATGTAGTTGAATGCCTAGTTGTGAGACAAAACTGAATCTGCTACCAAAAGCTGAGATGCAGCATGAGGGGGATTAGTGACCTCACCTATTCATTCATCACTACACAGGACTATTTTGCTAAAAACTTTCTTCTGGTACTGAAACCACTTTTTATTCCACCTTCTTCCATATGAGCAATCTTGGATTATCAAGATGTACTTCTCACAGTCCCAGAAACCCTGTGCTAAGTTGCTTGCAAACAGAATATAAAACCTGATGACAGTAGCATGGAATTTGGGGGTATGACAGGATGACAGGTTGGCATCTTTGCCTGGCTTCTGCCAAGATTGTTAGAACTGGTTGTAAAAAGCTAAGCATATTCTTTTCTTGGCTGAATATCATATCATAACCTCTGACACGTATAATTAAGGTATTGCTCAGTACTGGGTTTATCATTTATGATCTTACTGCTTTGTTTTCCCCACAGATTGCAAATTAGTTAATTTCTACATTCCATTCAAAATAAACAGATATGAAATATCTCAGCATTAAATCACATTCATTAGAACACCCCTTTGTTAATTTTTCTTCAGTTCTACGTTTGGCAACAATCTTTACTACCAATCTATACAATTTACTCTGATTTAAAACCAGCTCACTATATCCAGTGTGTAACATGCACTGACATCTCTTCCAATTCAAGAACTTTTGAACATCGATAACTCTATCACATATCTCATATCTCTAAAACAACATACCAGTACTCACACAACCTTGAAAATACAAGTAACTACAATAAAACAAGCAACAAGTTCACAATGGCATTTTGTCAATTTGTTAACGTGGAAGGAAGATAAATGTTTCTTACAGTTAGTTTGTAGGTTTTGAGAGAGAGCAGGCCAGAGATTTTGGACAGCACTCAGACTTGCTTCAGACAGCACAAAGTCATGGTTTGGGTAGTTCAGTGAATGCTCCTTTGCTGCCAACACGCAATGCTTCATGCTGACAGCACTGGATTTATTAACATCCCATGAAATGACAGCACACGAGGTTATCACCTAGATTTGCCCTTCTTCATTTTAAGTCCTTCCTAGCTAAGGAAGCTGAATGCCATCACACAGGCAGCTAACTGCTCAGTTGCTGTACCAAGTGCAACTCTGTATCTAAAACCACTGAACTAAAACTGCAACCTCCTGGCTTGAAGAGGATACAGGCTGACATATCACTCAGTAGTTACTTTAATTACCTATACCCAGTGTATTTTGATTTTTTGCTGTTTGGCTTTTTTCTCCTCCCCTCTCAGGAAGAAAGAGAAACAACAGCAAACAATTAGCTCCAACAACATGGCTAACACTGAGCACTTTCTCCTCAGCATCTATTCACATTTTAGAAAACTTCTGGTGCTTCCTATTTGTCTCTCTGCACGTTACAGATTCATTATCTTGATTAATGTATTTTAAAAATCTCTTTCCTCCCTTGTTCATGCTTTCATAATTCATCACTGAACATTACTGCAATGTACACAGGACACAGAAAATGCTTTACGTGTATCACTGACATGCACTATTTAACATTGTGTTTGATCTTTAAGTGCTATGTTTAGCTTGGATTCATAAAACGGAGCTTGGAAGTATTAAAGCTCAGCACAAACAAAAACGATGCTAATTACCTGTGGAATAATTAGTTGTTTTTGTAACCGATTCCTGTGCTTCAGAGATTGCTTTCAGTATTAAGTTCTTATTGGCTTGTTTGGATGGTGGAAGTGAAGGTCTAAGGGAGATGAAAAAAAGTAACTGTAATTGCAACAGCAACTGTATCCGTGCTAAACACAAATATTTCAACACGTTAACAAGTTACACATAATACAGACAGAAATCAGCATTTAAAACTTCACTTTTTGGATGTTTGTTTTCAACTTGTTAATCTATTCTCTGAATGGACAGGGATATACAAAATGCTCTCAAAAATGGAAGTCCAGAGGCCTGATTTTATCTCACCTGTAAGCTGCTGTATAAACGTGCAACATCTGAAAGGCACAACTTCTGCCTCTGCCCCCCACATTCCTGTTACCAAGTCTGTGTTGGCACTAATTAATTACACAGCCATGTTGTACAGCAGGATCTGGAGGAAAACTAACTATCAAAAACATGTTAACTGTAAAAAAAGGCTTTCTGTTTCTTTTTGAATACTGACAATAGTAAGTTCAAATCAAACAGACATGCTGCGGTGTTGAAGATAAATTCAATAAAGTGTACCAGCTTCAAACAAATCTTCTACAAGCTAGCCTTGCAGATCAGTAGAACCAACTCTTTCCTAGCTTAAACATTTTTCCTCTTACTGTTGTCAGATAAACACCACTAATGGACCTTGACTGACACCTGACATTCAGACAGAATTGGAAAGGGGGAAAAAGAAGCAAAAAGAAAAAAAAAACTTATTTTTTTTGGAAAAGATAAAATAATCTTAAAGAATAGAGTAACATAAAGAAGAAAATTTCACTGAAACGTATTCACAAATCCCACTTGCTTGTTTTTTTTGTTTTAAAGTAACAGAGACTGGAACCATGTCAAAAGGCTTGGTGTACAAGAGAATCAGATTTGTCTGATCAGAGCTATTTGGTTTGAAAACTATTCCTGAAGTAAAAGAAAATAACCAAAACTCCTAGGAAAATTATGATACCATGTTAAATACCTGGTCTGAAACTAGCTAACATTAACATTCTTTTAACAGTAAACTTTTCCCAAATAGCGTAAAATTTCACACTCACATTTCACAGTTTATGCAGAACAATAAAAACAGGTTTTAAAGTTAGTGGAAAAAAGGTAGTATAATGAGACATCTCACCCACAGAGGCGTGAGACAGTATGAAATATAACGATGGCTTACTGATTTTTTTCTGTCAATTTTCAAAACCACAGACAGTTTTCATCAACTTTCTCTTTCAAAGATTTTGTTCACTATTTTTTTCTGGAAACAGCATAGAATCCCTGAAATCTTAAGTACCTTCTTTCTGGCTTTGCAGGTACAGACACACTGCTAGAGATGCTTCCTGTTCGTGACCCATATTCTTCTTCCTCCTCCTCCTCCTCACCATCATTACAGAATTTTTTCACTTTGACTACTGAGCTTACAACAGGCAACCTTCTCTTCCTGGAGCTTTCTTCCTACAACAAACAGAACAGCCAAAATACTTCATTTAGCATAAAACATTAGTAAGACAGCAAAGAAAACTTTGCTATTCTACTTACAACCAGAAGATGGAGAACTTCCATTCAAATTGCATGAATCTAAGACTAATAGATAATGTGCAGAAACAAGTGACAGCACTTAGAGCGTGAAAATCAGCTACACTTACACTGAAATCTCATTAAAAATGTGACAGTAAAATGTGAAAGTAAAGCAACACTTAGAGAAGGAGAAGAAAGACTAAAGACAATTTATCAAACATCTAAAGAAAGAGGAGGGTTTTCCAATGCAACTCACAACAGCCTTAAAGATGCAACTATTAAAAGTTTTATGGAGAAAAATGAAATAACTGAGAATGACTTTCTCCTCTGTAGTAGCTCTAATTCTTAGATTGGTATAAAGATTAACTTCTAGCAAGCTGACACATTCCAAAGGATGGTAGCTGCCTTGCGGAGGAGCCAGCATGGTCCAGCTCAGGAAGTGCAAGTTCCCTTTTCTGAGAGTCACTCACCACCACTACAAAGCATGTAATAGTGACAAATTTGAATGCTAGCCCATGCAAAAGCATTGGAGCAAACACCTAACAACGCTTCCTAAAAGAACCATCACTCAGCACTGATCTACACAGGAGCACAATGAGACACCTGGCTGATAGGTATGCAGATGGTATCCTTTAACTGATCATGTATCCTCCAAAGAGGAAAAAACATCCTAAGGAATAGACCTGGACTACACTAACACATAAGATACATGCAATTAAAATAAAATAAAAGACCTTTTTTAAAAAAACTTCCCAAACCACAAGCACTCGTCTGAGGAGTCAGCAGAGTACATCAAAGTTCCACAGTTCCACGAAACACTTCTGAAAGAGCCCTCTTCAGGATATTATTAATGAAATAGTAACTGAAGAAAATTGTCACAGACCTTTTTCTAACATTGTCAAGGGGAGATGTGACTCTCGTTTGTGGAGAATGTATGTACGGCCTTAAATAAGTCACTGTATTCTCATTCTCACTTCCACAGCTTAAAAAGTAAGGACATCTGCACACATCTCTGCATTCTACGTTTCTGAATAAAAAACACTGTTCTTTTTTAAAGAGCTATGTAAGCAGCAGCAGAGAACAATACACACAGTAGAAACACAGATGCAGCTGGAATATAATGTAAGTCAAATTTCTGCTTCATCACAAAATTAGCAGCCGTAACAATCTTCATTCCACTTACAGAAGGGCTCTTAGCTGTTTCATATGGGTAGTCTTAAAACCATCATCTGGGACTGTCATTCTGCCTGGGTCAGTCTGGCTTCTCAAGTGAGTAAGGCAGCAATCAGCTTTTAGTTTATGGTTGTGCAAAACCCGCCCCAAAAAGTGCTTAAATGCCATGGCTCTAAGTTGTAAAACAATACTAAAAAGCAATACATCTGGCTGTTAGAGACTAAGATGTACCTAGCATAGTTACAAATAAACAGCACCCCAAAAAATACAGATTTACTTCAATGATCCAGAGATCAAAATGATTCCTTCTGATTCGTCACACGCATCGTAACAACGCGCCAGCTCATTAGTCCAGCCCAATATGGCATGAAGATGTACAAGCTAATTAACTCAGCTGTACAGCAATCAGTGAAGCAATGACACTAAGCTATGCAATCTCTACTTAACACTGGACCTAGAGAATGAAATCCCAAACCTCCTCATACCAGTAACAGAAATCCTCTGATTTCTCTGAGGTGAAGACTTTATGGGAAGAGTGTACACAGAAATTTAGGCTCCTAGCAAGCGTGAAATACAGCAACAGTTTAGATCATACTAACCTCACTGCCTACTTTATCAGCACTAAGTTTGGAGGTGGGCCTGTAGCTCTCTGCTAAGCTGCCAAATGCTTCTGGATTGCACAGCTGGACCGTTTCCAAGGACCTGCAGCTTTGCGTGTCTAACTGCCGGCTCCCCTGCAAGGTGCCCTGCTGGGACAATCTGTGCACGTGCGCACTGCCATCTGCACTCCTGCTGCCTGGTGGCCGGTAGATTTCAGCAGTAGGACGAGAAGAACCGTAAGTTACAGTTACAGTAGGTTTTTTCCGGGACAAAGGATTCTCCTGCACAAAGTTTAGGTCTTCATCAATTAGATCATCTGGTTCAGGTTTAATGTCAATTACAGCTTCAGAAGGTGACAGTTCCCTCAAAGGCTTGACTGTAGACATTAAGCGGGATGCAGAACCATCTTCAGAAGACTGCCTGTTAAAATAAGAAATTGCCAAATAATACCTCTGCAAGTAAAGCTCTAGAAAATTCTGGCTTTTTAAACAAAGCCAGATGGGAAGAATCATGAAGGTATTATTTCTCATGCATATCTAACACACTGATCCCTATTTTTAGTTTGGTTAATTAATCTAAGCACATCTGTTACTTAAAGAAATAGAACTGAGTTCCTGATTTAAGGTTTTTATTTAACAAATTATAGGAATGCTTCACAATGACTATCACAGTCATGCAACTCCTAAAGTCTTAACCTGTGTCAAGAACCAATCAGTGGCTTTACCGTGAAGCAGCATTTCTTTGTTCCTGTGAACTGGTGGAAACTCTGGAGTCATTTCTTTCTGTCCGTGTGCTGGAAACCGCAAGAGGTGGCAAGGCATCCTCACGCCTCCTCTCATCACTCGCACATGAACTACTTTTGCTGGAAGGAAGTTGCTCTCAAAGATGTTAGATTCTGAAGATTTTACGCTTGTTGGTTCTGCAAAAACAGGTACCTTTCATTTTATATCCAAGCACAGCAATAGGGATTTTGCAATAAATGTATCAAGGTAAAGGTAACAAACAGGACATTGCCCAGATGTAAACAGAACAATCTAAGGAGTTTTCAGTTCAAAACATCAGGAAAAAATGCTCAGGATTAAATTTTGGACTTGGAAATAAATTCTTTGTCTCAAAACAAAAATAAAAACCCATCTTCTAAAAAGTCAGGACCCAAAAATACCACTGAGATTTAAAACTAACAAAACAGTCAGCTAAGATCTTAGTGGAAACTAACTAGACGTGCAACACTACATTAAAAGATAAACCTGGTTCCACTCAAAATTCATTTTCTTACTTACCAGTAGTCACAGACCGCAGCTTATCCAAAACACCATGGAGCCTGAAATAGACAGCAGGCAGAGAAGGAAGCAAAAGAAAAAAGGAGAAACAGAAGAACTTTAATTCAGAATGATAATCTTTCAGAAACAACCTTTCCCCACCCTATAATAAGCATCTCATTTATCCACGGCTTCACTTGCCATTAACTGATAATGTTGGGTTTAAGGAAGAGCTTCAATGAGTGAGTGAACTTCATAGATGCAGTTAAGGTATTCATCACATCAGTTACTTTTGGTACTTTGTTCATTTACCAAATTAAAGCCAGTACTTTCTACTGTTCCACTACAATCAACAATGTGAATTAAATGTCTTCAAAAGGACTGACTCAAACTAAGTTAGAATCGTAGAGTATAGGCTAGAATTTTACTTCATATATGAAACTTCAATTACACAGCAAAGCTAAAGATAACTCTAAATAGAAACCTAAAAAATACACAATTTAAAGTACTTAATTTACTTAGGATTCTTCCAACATGCTTTGTTTATATCAACAATATTCTTTGAGACATATTGCTGAGCAATACTTTTCAGCGAGGTACCAAATTTGCTGTTTGCCTGTGAAAAAGGCACCACGCTGAAGCAACATAGAAAATTAAAAGGCTACAAAATAGTCCTTTAAAAATACACTCATTACAGAGAGAAAAAAAAAACAAACACATACATTTAAGTGCATATCCTAGAGTTCAAATCTGATCCTGGGCATCTCCATAATTTAGGCTGAGTATTAGAAAGGTGTCAAGGAACAAAATCATATTGAAAACTGGGAAAAGTAAAACTGCATAGCAATATATGGAAGGCTTTTCATTAGAAGCCTGTTAAAAATGTTGTCAGCTGAACTCTGCTGATGTGACCATGGTGTATCAGCTTTCACGCTGATCTATGGATATCTGACCTGACACTTGGTTCAGAGTATGAAGTGCTGGCCAACCAGCAGGAATGCCAGCTCTGCCACAGAGCTGCTGTGAAACTTTTGCTAGATGACCCAGAATTACCAGCTACAGAGAGCTACCAAGGAAGGAAGACCTTGTTGAGTATTTAACTTAGCCAGGGACTCAGCGCTTAAGAATGTAATACTTCTGTCTTGCTTTTAAAAGAAATAACAAACCAAATGAATAAACAAAACCAAACAAAACCATAGAAAGCTCCCAGCTATACCACTATGTAACTTTTTTCTCCACCAGTCCTTATATATCTTACTGCATACATTTATCTTGTTCTCCTTTCTTTCTTTTAACCAATACCTACTTCATTATCTGAGAAAGTATTCTGAAATAGAACTTGTATTTAGTAACAAATGTAGATACTGAACTGAATGACAAGACTCATTACATGGGTAATTTAAACAGCAATCATCAAAACCAGTGGAAGGTTTTTTTAACATCTACATATAGTTGATATCCATTTCCAAATACAAAAAAAAAAAATTGATTTCTCTCTTCTGTCAAAATTCATTTTATGTCATTATTAATCTACTATTAATATATTAATCTAGTTTAATCTACAAAGCCATAACTGTGTTCTGCTACATATTATCGTGTTATTTCTTCGCATGCAGAGATTCAGAGAAAATCCTAGTACTAAAGTTAAACTCATCAGTCTGTTAATTTGTCTAACTGATTCCCAACATTCCTACAACTGCATGACTTACTGCCACAGTAAATGCCAAAAATGTTATCTAGGTAGGTCAAAAAAGGGAAAAAAAGCAGGTATATACACTGTAACTTTAAATTGAAAAAAAAGGGGGTACATTGTTAATTGCACTCACCTTTCCTGTATTTTTGACAAATGCCAAAAAAAAAAATGAAAACTTTGAAAGCAAACTTAAATTATGCCCATGTCACCTAGAAATAACACTGGTTTAAATAATTAATACTGTTAATTGTTATAACTGGAACTAATTTTTACTCTTTGTCAATGTTTACGGCTTAATAACATACCCAACTTCTACAATGTTTCCTCTTTGCTATTTAATTGCATAAAAGCTCCTAAACAAATAAAGGAGAACCTGACTAATCACACAGACATACTGGAAATGAATGTAATTACTCAGTATGAAAAATATGAAGAAAGCAATCAGAAAAAGCAAGAAAAATGCAATACTTCTCTGATCTGTACAAATCAAAGTAATGTTCCTTACAACTATATTAGATTAAAGACTCAAAAATGAGATTAACTTGAAAAAATACACAGCTCTGAAAGCCTAAATAAAATCTCTGGAGCGACATCTGTTTGAAGAGTCTGTCTGGCTACTTTGAAACCTGGAGGTTAAAGTAGTAGAAAATGCATGAGAAATACTGTACTGGCTAAAGTTCTCGTGCATTAGAATTAATACACAACTGTCAGGAGTTTAGGGGGGAAAAAAAAGTTCATCTGTTGCTCATTTGTCCTCTTCACAACAATTCTGGGGTTCTACTTTTGTTTTGTATAGCTGGGTGATGGCGATAAATAAATAGCCTGAGAGGTGGGAATACCTAAACATTTGGTGCTAAGCCTTGTCAAAGACGGTATACAGAATTAGAGTCACTGCTCATCTGTCCTCTGATTCCTCTGTACTACAGCAATCTGAAGCACTATTAGCATAAAAGCAAGTAAGCTGTTTTTTAAAGAACTACCTTTAAAGAACTTACTGCAGAATACAGAGCTCCCACGCTCAGAGTGGGCTTTGTAGGATTATTTTTTTTTCAGTCAACATTTGGCCCTCACTTACCTGAGCAAACTTCAAAAATGTGACCGAGCTTATGAGCGAATAAAGAATATAAGCCCTCCAGCCTCCTGTGACACTTAATAATCACTGCAATAGCCAAACAACTGACAGAATAAAAATCATAGAATCATAGAATATCCTGAGTTGGAAGGGACCCTTAAGGATCATCAAGTCCAACTCTTAAAAAAAATTCTCTAAATAAAAATTATTTATTAAAGTAAAAAGGTTTTATTAATGTAAATTGCACAATGGGAGGATAACTAACTGTTTATTTTCTCACAGCTCAATTATAGAAAAGAGTCCCAATTACTGATAAGAAGTGTGACAAGCAGCTTACAAACATACCATACAGTAAACCTGACAGTATTGTTTCCAAGGAAAAGAGAAAGGTCCTCTGTCATCTGCTCCTGGCTCTTCTTATTGGCCACCATAACCATAATGTAATCAGGGAGTTCTTCATCTAATAGAAAGAGAAATATGTTATGAAGTATAAGAAAGCATAACAGATTAAATAGATCCTTAAACAAGTTATCAGAGCTTTTTTTCCAGTTTTCCTACAAGGCCTCTGTAGGCAGATTGTTAGATCAGGAAATTAACAAGGCTTCCACTTCATCTGAAGGTTTAATAGGACTTTCAGTCACAAGTGAAAAATAAAAGATCATCAACTTCAGTAGAGCAGAAGCTGAAAATAAGATCAAAGCATTTAAAAAGTAAGTAAATAAAACAAAAAGGACAAGATAAAAGAAAGCCACTCTGTTGCTCGAATCCTTTTACTGGAACACTAACAAGCATCTACGATTTTCACTACTTCAAATATTGCCAAACACAGCACCTTACCCTTATGAAAGACCAAACTAATAAATACTCCTTTCTGATCTGTGCTTTGAACAAATCAAAACCATAGCAACTTCCAGATTTTCCATCTACAAAAAACGCTGAATATCAGGTCATTAAAAATAACAAAACAAAACACAGCAACTCTGAAAGTCTGATTCTCTATCTTCCCCCTGTATGCAGTTTCACACACCACGTGAAATCTATTTCAACTGATGGAAACAGGGTTCCCCTACCAACCAGAATTGGTAGGAAAGTGTTGGGAGTCTAACGCAATAGAGGTTTGGGGATGTTGGTATTTGGCTTCTTATTTACCCTAGCTCTGGTCTATTCTGAAAGACTGAACAGACAATTGTTGCTTGAGGGCATTAGATATGCTTTTTGAGCGCATATTTTAATTTATTTAATCAAACACCTCATGCTCTGCAATACCGCTCCATGGCATGAACCTAAGAACAGAACGTCAGAACAGTTGGAAATCCACTTCAAATAGTGAACTTGCACTAAAGCCCTAATATACTTGTACCCAATTAATCAAGTTAAATCTGCACACGTTATAAAGACCTAAAAATTAAAAATCTTAAATCAAAATATAAATCAAAGGAATTGCATTTACTCTATATCTCATGTATTCTGTATCTCCTACAGCACAGAAGCAACATTCATACACACCTGCACTCCACTGTCACTACTCAGGTGTTCCAGCATAATACACTTCTAGCCTGAACTATAACTTTATTTTATTTTATTTTTTAATGTATGCTACAAGTTGCACAAGCTGGATGTGCATCCAGATCAAGGAACTCACTGATATTAAAATTAATTTTATTTTTTGGCCAAGCTACTTTTAAACTTGACCTGCTCCTCAGGTGGTTCAATATATAAAGTAATTTTAAGTATAGATCAAAACATGAGTTAGCACAATTACTTGCAACAGGACAACAGAAGAAGGGCAGAAAGAACATGACTACTGCTCTCTGTAATTGTGTTGGCTTGTGTTAACTTAAATTGTATGTAAAACCACAGCCTTCTGATCAGTTTTAGAGTTGATGAGTATTTAACTACCTTTACTTTAACAAATGTGTATTTTTCTTTTGTAAGTTCTAGACAACAATTTCCAGCATGTCTTTGTCTAGAAGACTTTCTGAAAAAAAAGTATGAGCAGTTACAGAAACAAAAGCATGGTTCTTGCTCACATGAGTTGGAATGAGGAAGAAAAGATTTTTACCAGTTTCCTACAAGAACAAATAGAGGATTCTTGAAAAGCATTATTTGGAAAGCTGTCTCTAATCCTCCAATCAAGAAAAGAAAGCTGAAAGACAACAGAAATTAGGAAACAGTGGATTAAAAACAAAAAAGAGGCCAAGGGAGGCCAGACTTGTCGATAAAGAATACAGCTATTTGAAGAAGTTTAGAAGCTGACTGAGAAGACAAGGCAGACATTGGATGATGATCTTGGGAACTGTCTTCTGAAAACAAGAAACAGGTAAAAAAAAAATAGAAAACCAGAGAAGGAATAATTATCCATAATTGGAATCAGAGATCACTAGTGTTCTACTTGCATCTTCATATGAGATATAAGGAAGATTTTTTTTCAAAAATGCAAGAAAAAGAAGACAAAGAATCAAATGAAACCTGAAATTATTATTAAAAAATTGGTAACTGAAAAAAAACAACTTGAGATGGTGACAAAGAAGACCTCATAATGAAAAAAAATCTAAACATGGTTCCTCGGACACTGCTGAGCTCAAAAAATCAACTCAAGGCAATCCACACTGCCCATACACGTCCCTTCACATTCAAAACAAAACCTTGATCCTATCTCTATGATTTCATAACATGTTATTTCATCAACATTAGCGTAAGGTAGCTCTTGGTTTTCTCCTTAACAGTCAAGTTCTTATGTTTCATAGAGTTGTGCTACATACTGCTTCTGACATGGCCCTTCCAACTCCTAAAACAGTCAACCTGACTGTCTCACTGTAATATCCTTTCTCCTAATTCTGACAAATACTTGAAATCCAAAATGCTGTTGAAAAGACAACTAAGAAAGACCAACTCCATCTCAGAGTGGCCACAGATAACCGCTGTCATATGCAAGCATTTTACTTCATGTAATGTTTCTTCTTGCACCTCATAGAAGTTCCCTTAAATATTCACAAAGACACATCCTTGTTTGTTTGTTTCTTTCAAATCCCTTGCATCTGTATCTCACTGAAGGGGGAGAGACTGTTAGCTAATTTCCTTTTAGCTCTTCATTCACCAATGTCCACATACGGTGTCCTCTTATCCGTAAGACCACACATTTTGTGAAGTCTTTTTTTTTTTTTCCCATTAGTCCAGCACTTCAGGTAATTGACCTCACGCTTGGGGTTTCTGTATGCAGTAACACAATTAATTATGGGTAAATTCGCTGATCCAGCGAATCGCATTAACCCGCTCCTGGTTTCCTGTTGAACAACAACAAACACGGGTTGACCACGAAGTAAAACTTACCAACATAAGCCCCCAGCTCCTGCAACTTTCCTTTTATAGCCCCCTAAAAGGCAACGAAACAGCATGTGAGGGACGGAACAACAAAGTGCCTGGAACCGCAAACCAGCGCGACGCTCTCTCGATGAAGTTTTCGTCGCTGCCCACCGAAGGCTTTGCCCTGGCCGAGGCCCGGTTCCCGCCCGCAGGTCGCGGCAGCTGCCGGCAGCGGGGCGCTGAGGCCCGCGGCAGCCTCGCCCCCCGCCCCCCGCCCCAATTCCACCCCCACACCGCCCCCGCCCCCCCCCCCCTCAGCAGGGACCACCTGGTCTCACGGGGCGCGCAGAGGCCGACGAATTACGCCAGTAATAGATGAGAACAGCCCCGGAGGGTTCGGAAAAGGTCATCCCCGGCTCGGCACCGGCACCCTGCCGGGGGCTGCGGCGTGTGAGCGCCCGGAGGCAGTGGCTGGCAGCCCCTGCCCCGGGGCACTTGCGGCCCGAGCCTCCCAGCGGGCAGGGGCAGGGGGAGCTGCAGGCAGAGCGGCAGCGGCCACCCTCCCGCCTGCCTCCCGCAGCCCCCCCGTTACCCCGTCCGCGCTCGCCCCGCCGGGGGGATCCCGGCCCCTCGCCGCGGCGCCTCTCACCCGGATCTTGCGGCTGATCTCGGTGCCGATCTCCATGGCCGCGGCCTCCCCGCTCGCCTCCCGCCCAGGCCCCGGCAGCGCCGCACAGCGCCCGGCCTCCGCCTGCGGCGCCCCCTGGCGGGACGCGGCCCGGCCTCCGCGCCGCCTCCCCACGCACCGCACAGCCCGGCCCCGAGAGGGCGGCGAGCCCCGGGCTGCGCCGAGCCGCGGGCGGGAGGGGCCCCGCTCGCCTCCCTGCCTGTCCTCGTCGCCTTCCTCTGTCCACTGCCCGGGGGAGCCCTGCGCCCCCCTCCTGCTTTGTAGTGTAGTGGGGTCAGCTCTGGGCCCTCACCACAGGAGGCCCTGGAGTGTGTCCAGAGCAGGGCTACGAAGCTGGCGAAGGGCCTGGAGCACAAGTCCTGTGGGGAGCGGCTGAGGGAGCTGGGGGTGTTTGGTCTGGAGAAGAGGCTTAGGGGAGACCGCGTTGCTCTCTACAGCTACCTGAAAGGAAGGTGTGGGGAGCTGGGGGTTGGCCCCTTTTCGCAGATAACTAGTGATAGGACTAGAGGGAATGGCCTCAAGTTGCACCAGGGGAGGTTCAGGTTGGGAATGAGGAGACATTTCTGTCAGAAAGAGCAGTCAGGCACTGGGACGGGCTGCCCAGGGAGGTGGTGGAGTCACCGTCCCTGGGGGTGTTCAAGGAAAGGTTGGACGTGGTTCTCAGGGCACATGGGTTAGTGGGTGACATTGGTAGTAGGGTGATGGTTGGACAGGGTGATCTTGGAGGTCTTTTCCAACCTTAGCAATTCTGTGATTCTAATGATCAATGAGTGTGTATGTAATGCAACGTGATCATATAAGAAGCCTTAAAATAATGCACATTCTTCACAGCTTCACTGACAAAAGTAAAGTTTCTGCCTTAAACACAGAGGCTTCATCATCCCCTAGTCTTTACATGAGGGATCACTTGCTGAGGGAGGAGAGGAAAGCCGGCAAAGCAGGGCACAGTAAATAGGAAAGAAGTCATGTTCAAGTCACATCCTTTATCTCCTGCACCACTGTTGCAGCGTCACTTCATCCAGAAGCGCAGATTTAGTGGGCAGCACCATTACAGAAAGCCCAGCATGCACATATACAGGATCTTTTAAAACAGTACCAATGCTTGGAGCTTATTTTACCCAGTGGCAACAACTGTATTAATCTCTTTCTGCATCACTGCTCCCAATAGAAACCAAGCATAATACAGGGACAGCCTATACTAATTAATGCTAATGATCTAAGCTGTTTGCTTGACCATACTTAAAACATACTGGTACTACAGTGAGATACAACAAGTAACAGAATAGCTTAATTATAACATTCCATTTTAATCTTTAACAGATACATTTTGCTTTGTTAAGATTTCAAATATGTTGCAGTTACTTTATTATTGGAATGGAAAATTACTGAATGACATAAATATGAATTATATCTATTCATCAACTAATTAATAGATTTATAAATTCACAAAAATATGTTCCAAAAAATCATCTTTTCTGACTAATAACAGAAGCTCACTACTTTAAGTTCAGCACTGTATAATGTGTAGGAAAACCATCCACTTTTATTAGTTATTTGGTAGAACATTTTACAGTGCCTTATATGTAAAAATAAACCTTGCAAGCATGAAATTTCAGGCTTCAAGCACGTAGTAGACCTGTTGTATGCTTATTTTTCTAGAACCTTCTATTAGTTCCACCTCATTTCTTTTTATCTTCAAGAAGCATGTAATGATGTATTAAGACCAAGCTCTCCACTTTTTTACAAATAATAAATGATGAAAAACAGGAAAGTTTCACAGAGCCAAAACATAGAAGTGATAAATAAAGTGAATTTGTTTGGAGAATAGCTTTAAGAATCACATGTAGAGTCAGATGTATTCTGTCTTTTCAGTTCATGAAGTCACTGTTTTGCATGGCCAGTGAGTAAATAAAGATTATTTTTCTACATGAATTCTTCATTGTTTTAGCATCCTGGGAATAGCCCTTGGGAATAGTTTAGCTCCTGGGAACCATTTCTGGACTATCTTGTATTTTTATCACAAATGGATAATTCTCCACTAGGCTGAGGAAAATATACATGCACACCACTTTTCTGCCTGGAGAGTAGCTGATGCTGCTTCCTATTGGGCTCGCTTCCAAGTTTCTTTCTTTTTAGTTAGGGCAAAGTTCCCAGAATCAGACCAAGGTGAATATTTGCATCAACCTTCACCCTGTTGACTGATATGCTCAACTGCAATCACGGCTTCAAACCAGAATGGAAAAAAATCAGAACTGTCCAAAAGGGAAGATGTCAATAAGATCAAACTAGGATTATCCCTGTTCCACTATGGGCAGGTGTTATTCAATCCAATAGGCAGAAACTTTTCCGTCTCCTTTTAGAACAAGGGCTGCAATACTCATCTGTAGGACATTATGTATCTTTCTCCTGTAGGTTCCACAAGAGAGCAAAGGAATGAGTACAGCAAAGAATGTGGGTGTTTCTAGCCATGCACGTCATGAAAGTTGATGAGGGATTGAAGGGGTGAAGCAGAAGTATAGTGCCCTGAGACAATCAGGCTCTGTCTCATTGATGTGTGTCTATAAAAGATCATCGTGTTTTTGTGGACACATTTGTCTCCAAAGGTGGAGCAAAGCAGGTAATGGAGAGCTGATGGGGCAAAACATGAGACAGAAAGGGCAAAATGGAGAAAGTACGGAAAAACACAAAGTTAGGATACAAATTGGGGTTATAGCAAGCAGAATTTAAAAATGGAGCTCAGGAATAAACTTTTGATGAGCTTCAAAAGTAGAAAATGTAAGCTCTAGAGGAACATATTGGCAATATCCTACCTGTCTTTAAGACGGTGTGTCTTCAACGTAAATGCAAAAGAGAAAATACAGCAAGAAGTAACTAAGCCAAGTTAGAAAACTCTAATAAATGTAACTTCCAGGCAGAGAAACAGGCAGGAAATGGGTGTGATCAAGATTTAGAATAGGAAATGGAACAGATAAGAGCATTGAGACATTGTTTCCAGTGTGAATTGTTTAGAAATAGGAGACGCCTCTGTTACCTTGAATTTTCATGGCTTGAATTTATTATGCATTGTACTGGCCAGTTTTCTCAGGTAAATAGCTACACTTCTGGTCTGTAGTGGATAACTCTAGAAAAGGGTATCCATTTAGTTTAGCTCAAAGTTAGTTTCTTTTACTCAATATAAGATTCCTCTGAATGAGTTCTTTTGGCTTGGACTGTTCATTGTAACTATGGTTTGTGTATGGGAGGAAAAAGAACTATTTCCCTGGTCAGAGTCATCTCTAAGAGAAAACTGCTGTATGTAAGAGAAATAACTCGGAAGAATTCATCATAGTACAAAATTGCCTACATATTTCAGCTCAGATTAGTGTCCTGCTAAGTAACATAGTAGTAACATAGTTTGCATAGTAGATCTGCAAGTTAGACTTGCTCAGAGAGTAGCATGTTTGTTCGCTTTACATTACCAAAATACTTTCTAAGTTTTACAGTCGTGAATCAGCATTCACATACTCACTTTATCTTTTTCCTTCATCCCTCACCTGTTTCAAGATTGTATATACTTCTGCCTGGCTCACACAAAGTGGAGAAGCTTAAAATTCTAGATAGCATACAATTGCTAATTTTTTTTGTCAGGTCCACATAGATTTGTAGGACTAGGGTCCAGCCCCCTACATGATGATTCCATTTGTTAAACACTATAAATATTACTGAATTAATATGCACTTAGTGCTTGATAAGGCAGTTATTATTAATAATTTCTACTGGCGCCTTTGGGAATTTTTGTGTCTGAGCAAGAGCTGAGAGATTAGCCTTTTAGTCTGCATATTCTTGCTGTGTATATTGCAAACAGCTGAAACTTTGCAAGGACTTCTGTTTTTAGCTGCAGACATAAACGTATGTGCATAGGTCATTTAGTATGGCACATGTGGATTAAAACCTGAAAATATTTCCAAGCTGTGTAAAACAAAAACAAAAACAAAAACCACCATAGAACAAAACACAAACAAACAACAACAACAACAAAAGACCAATGGATTATTATTTTTTTTTGGAAGAGATTTGCCTTAATTGGAAAGGCTTAAAATAAATGATCATATGATTAAAAAAGCAAGGATTGCCTGCTATTTGTTGTAACCCCTATTTCTGTAATGCCCCTGTAGCCAGCGAAGCAGCTGTTCATTGCTGACATTCTCCCTGCCAGGCATTCCAACTCTCTGAGGTAATGGGCTGCAAGCATACGGGCCTTCGCTTTAATTCTTTCAGCGTATCCTTCCGCATGGATAGAGCGAGGGGAACGCCTCCAGGAAAAGAAATTAAATGCACACACACACAGGCACACAGAGACAGGCGATTTGAAAATATTCCAGAGAACGCGATTTTGTGCTCCCGCAGCACAGCATCGCATGAAAGAGGCTGTCGGAGGAGCTGGCTGGCACAGGTTTATTTTGTTGCAATATTTTCTTCCACCCCCAGCTCTTTACCCAGTGGAATGATATCCAGAGCAAGTTTTTTGAGACAGGAAGTGAGGAATGTTTTCACTATGAGTGATCTGAGAAGAAGGTGGGTTAGCCGAGATAGCAGCTGTTTTGTACGAGAGGAACACAGTAAGTCAGTCCCCAAGGAATACAGATGAGATGGCTCCGCAAGAAAAAGTCTCAGAGCGCTGTGTTTTTTCTTCAGCTACACGTATGTGAAAGGAGACTCGGTGTCTTTGGATCGCAGCAAAAGGTAATGGGAAAACAGCAGGCACAGTAAAACATACCGGGTGATCTTCTGTGCTGTGTACTGTAAGATTGAGGGGTTTCAAGTGTTTTCTTTTGGGAAAGTGAAGGCTGTAGAGCTCTGCGCTTCTGAAGGCAGGGGAAGTTTGAGATCTGCCGCACTTATTGCTGCTCTTCTAGTCCAAAAGTCATGTCAAAGATTAACTGGTAAAACAAGGGGAGGGTGGAGTATTCTGATTTATTTTTTTTTGTCTCCTCAAATATCTCTGAACTAAATATATGTATTTTGAGTGACTGAAATAATAGGAACACTATTTTACCATCATATGTTGCAGTTTTATTTCACATGCTGTCATTCATGCAGGCTGTGAGGCTGTGTGAAAATTATCGTAGAGTAAAATGCCAATTACTGAGGGGAAAATGGGAAGTGGGAGATGTAGGAAAAGGGGAAAGATACCACAGTGCTCACTAATTCTGCTTCAGTCATGAGCATGTTGCTGAATTTCTAATGTAACGTTTTTTAAACTACTCTGTTTGTGTTGAAATATAAATGTACAGAGTTTGGCCATTAAAGACATTTTTACTTGTTGCATGAAAATTCCAGGCTTGATAAATAAAGGCTTGTTATTTTAGAGAGAATCAACTGGGCTTGCAACTTCTGGCAGATTGTAGTTCCTGTTTGCTAAAGTAGCTTTATAACAATGCAGATGTATCCTAACTTAAAATATTACAGAATGCAAGTATGAGAGCACCTAGCATTGCTGAGCACGCTTGGCATGTTCTGAAAATTCTGATCTAAACTTTCTTCCTATGCTTGCATTGCTACCTGTGTGCCCAGAGAAATAACTGGAAGTCTCAGATTACCTAAAGTCAGTGTTTAGGTGGCTTGTGAATTTCACCTGTCAGGTCAGTGCTGCTTCCTGATATTTTTTCCGTGGTCTTAGGGTACTTTTCTAAGGGCCTGGTAGGGATATAACAGTTTCAAAGTCTTTTATGTACAGTACGTAAAATTGAGGTTAAAACACCACTGCACTTGTGATTGCAGCCTTCAAAAAGATGAGTAAGTTGATTTCTCACATCGCTGTAGCACCAAAGAAAATGTGTGTAATTGTGCACAGAATGTATTGGAAAATGGGCCCTGGGGAAGTGAGCTAAGGTCAGTCAGCCAAAAGTTTCACTGCCAGGAATAAACCCTGTGCGAGATTCTGCTGGCAGTGGGCAGGAAACTAAAAGCTTCTGTCTGTGGAGCATTCCCTGCAGTGCTGCTCTCGGGGGCTGGATTTGGAGGATCAACGTGCAGAGCAAGTAATCAAGCGAGGAGACTTGCATATCCCTAATTTTTTCAGAGAAACTTGTTGCTGTCAGTTGTTACTTGTTCTTTAGCCTCACCCCAAAATAAATCAGGCGGTGTTTTTTTTATTTGTTATTATTATTATTCAATCAGTTGTAATTAACATTTTAGATGGTATCTGTTGAGGTTGGGGACTGTGTGCAGTGGTAAACTGCCTCCAGATTGTTAGAAGCATGGTCATGAAGTCTGCTTCTGGTCATCCTCTGAAGTAGAGCTGCAAAGGTGTCACGGAGGACAAATGCCATGCTGCCTCCTCCTCCAGCCGCCAGCGCCTTCCTCTTGGCCGTGGTGCTTGAAAGAAGGGAGGATGGGGTCTGGAAAGAAAGTTTTAACGCAGAGAGTCTGCGGTCATGTTGAACACCATTACATTTCTAGGTATGCACATAAATATGCAAACGTTGTGGGGCTATCTAGTTGTTTATACCTATGAGTTTAAAACCAGGTGCATCTAGGAAGATTAGTGAACCTCTCACCCCAAACAACTGGACATATGCACGCTATTCTTACCTGAGGAAAAGTCCTCAGAAATCAAACTATGCCTTTCAAAATGCGTTACGAACATACCAGCCTGGAAAAGAGCGTTTTGTTTTGCGTATTTTTTCCCATTACGACGGCTTTTATCTCCGAGGCGGCGCTGCCACCAGAGACGGCCCTCACGCCACGGAGCCGTGGCAATGCGCGGCAGGGGGCGCCCTCAGCCCGGCCCCGGCCCCAGCCCGGCACCGGGCGAGGCTGCCGGGGCTGAAAACCGCTGGGTGCCGGTGGCTGGGGCTGGGTGGGCCATCTTCCCGAGGGGGCCATCGCCCCGAGCCCCGGGACTCGTCGTTGTCGGAGCTTTTTCCCCTCTCCCCCCCCCCCCCAAAGGCGGCCGTGGCTCCCCCCGCCTGGCTGGAGCGCCTTGGCGCGGTGTGGTGGCAGCCGCCCTGACCGTACCTACTTCTGAGGAAAAAGCTGCTTTTAGCCCGTGTTTTTCTTGTGCACGTGGTGTGTAGCCCTGTAAGAGCGACGTGTTTCTTAGGCGGGGGTGCAAACAGGCAGGAAACGTTTGGGAGAGGGGAAAGGCGAGGTCTGTGCACAGCGCGGAGCTGACAGGAGAGCAGGTGCGAGGGTGTTTGCAAGAGGTGGGGAACCTTTCCCCTTGGCAGGAGTGCGTTGCCTGTTTGTTTGTTTAGGGAAAAACTAGAAAATAAATTGTTTTCAGAGTTGGCGTACTCTGCTGGTGAGGCAAACCGTAACCTCAGACGTGGCACAGCAGTTTAGCATAAGCAATAATGGTTCAACTAGCTGTAATTCAGGGAAAATTAGAGGAATTGGATTTTAATTGTCTGGTAGGAAATGGCTAAGGTGTGAGGTTTAATACCTCTCTTCCTGCCTTTCTTCTCTCTCTCTCTCTTTTTTTTTTTTTTTTTTCCTGTAATCATTTCTGGGGGCTTGGTTTTGTGCGTAATCCAACAGGTAGGGGCTGAGGTTGCATGCTCCTCAGAAAATAATGCTGGGCTGCTGTTTTTTTTCTTCAACATTACTAGTACCTTTGGCAACTTGGACTTTCTAGAGGTCTTTCATTTAAATATCAATTCCACTTAAAAATACTTCCTATTTTAAGGTATTTAATCTGCACTTAATCGACACTCATTATTTACTTGCAAGTTCAAAACAAAACAAAACTTGCCAAAGACAGCTGCTGTCTGTGGAAAAACCAGAAACTCTGGTGCTTATTTGATTATTTGAATACATAACAGCTCTGCATTTTGGAGAAGTAGACTGACTATTTAGATTTAAAAAACACATACGCGTGTTATTTTCTCTTGTTTCCATTCCACTTTCAGTCAATTTCTTTTTCTGATTCACGTATGTTTTCTTTTTTCTTTGCTCCTTACTAGGATTCCAGTGGATGCCCCCTCTACTTTTACTGTGGTGGAAAACTTGCTTGTCTTTAATGGATACTGCTGCTGCTGGTTGATTTTTGGAGACTTTACAGCTCCTTACTTTTTGAGAGGAGATTGCTACTTTTCCTCTTACAAGTCCGTGGTGGTGGTAGCTTTTTGTCTCTAACCATCGGTGTGGAAAAAGAAGATGCCTCTACCTTTCGGGTTAAAATTGAAACGAACTCGACGTTATACAGTATCCAGCAAGAGTTGCTTGGTGGCTCGGATCCAGCTGCTCAACAATGAATTTGTGGAGTTCACGCTATCTGTGGAAAGCACAGGCCAGGAAAGTCTCGAAGCAGTGGCTCAGAGGCTTGAATTGCGGGAGGTAAGAAAACTGCCAAGTTAATGTATACTTTTGTCTCTGGTGTTAGATGTACCTGTGTGGTGAATCCTTACAGTTTGGGGCAATCAGTTTGTTTACTGGAACAGCTATTTCTTGTACCCCTTGTTTCTTCACATGCTTGTCTTGAGAGGGGCATGGATTGGTCCAGAACAGTTGCAAAACTTATGTTACAGAGCTAGAGTAGGTCCCAAAGGAACGGCATGTGAGAAGTAGCAGTGAACAGTTTAGAAAGATAAACAAAGCCACAGTGGTGGCTGTTTTTCAACCTGACAATGCTGAAAATGTCATTTAAAAAAATAAAATATCAGCACCTAATTTCTGCTGAAGGAGCATGGCTAAGAATTACTGAGAGACTTGAGACAACTTTTAGATTAGGATATGAAAGAGACTGCTATTTGTGTGCGTATATTTCTGACAGATTAGTACTGTGAATAGAACCTGAAGCACAAGTGTGAAATGTGTACCAGTGACAAACAACTTGTGTTGTTTGTTCACGTACCTACCACAAACTTGTTTGCAGGCCATGTCTGTGAGCAAGCATATAGTAACTTACTGATGTCTGTCCCATGGAGAAACGTGGACTGCACTATCTGTATCTGTATGTATCTGTATAACAGCTTCCCCCCATCCAATTTCTTGCTAGGTATTTTGAATGATGCTTTTGCAACTGAAATTTACTCTTCTCCCACACATTCAGTGATTATTCTGCAAGCATTTATTACTCTACACAGCATGTGTTACTGTAAAATTCCTCTGTAGGAAATGCTCTATACAGTCAGTTGTTTTCAGATATTTTTTTTCCTGTTTGGAGAATAATAAATAAATGAAAAAGGTGTGAATCCATTCATCTCTGTTTGTTTACTGTGTATGTTCTCAGTTCCAGTATGCTTTTCTTCTAGATTGTCCAAATATTCTTTAATTGTACAATTATTGAGGAAAAGTTCTGTAGGGCAGCGTGACTTCACTTCTGTTTTCTTGTTCTCTCTAGAAAAGGGAAAATCTAACTACTCTCATAGCCTTAGCATTTACTTAGAATGCATCAGGTATCATGTATCTAGAATTCAGTAGTTGTGTTTGAATGGAGTATGTCAATTTTATCTATCGATTTTTGGATGTCGCTGGTTAAGTCAACAGAAGGTAAAGACCTTGACTATATTTGGTTTGCAAAATGCGAAGGCTTTGTCTTCCTGAACAATGACTGCCAGCTTTTACTGAACTATTTACAAAGCATTGGAGATGCATGCTTTTTTCAACAGTTCTTCATTATCTCTTTCTCTGGAGCTACTCCTAAAATCTGATTTAAAAAAAAAAAAAAAAAAAAAAAGCTGGCAGTTCTCTCAATTAAGGGTCATATATCAGACTAAGGGAGTTGACACTACACTACTGAACTCTGAGCAGATTCTTTTGGTCATGCATTCTTGCATGGATTATTTTGGCAGGAAAATGTGTTGCAATAAAAGGGAATGGAAAGTAGGGATATAAATTACTTTCCATAGCTTGCATTCAAGAAATGTTGTTTTGCCTTTAGTCGGATTTGCCAACCAGATACCAGGAGCATTTCTGACCACTTGCTTAGTACGAAGTTTTCAGGAAGAAAAAATTGCTTAGGATTTGCTTCTAACTTCAAAAGCAGTATTATCGATGCTGTGAAATACAAAGTGCTTTGTATAAAATGCTCTGTATTGTTAATGCACTACGCACCTTTTAACATGTCACTTGAAAGTGGTAAACAAGAGAATATGACTGTTCAGCACCGAGATTTAACTCAGTTAAGAAAATCAAGGCATCAGTTTCAGATTACTGTATATGGGCTCTGCAGTTCTGACATGCAGTCCCCATGCACCCTCGGAACAGTTTATTGCAGGAGGTATGCGTGGAGTCTGTACCTATTTAGACATTGAACAGTAAAATTTACCAAACTCTCTTTCTCTCTGGTGTAGTCTGTAGTCACTGACTAGGTGGTGAATTGAATGGCTTATTCCTAGTGCTGTGCTACCTTTTAAGATACTTGTTTTAACAGATCGCACTTTATTTTAAATAGTAGCCTTCAAATTATGCTGTGTTTAGCATAACACTTTTTTCTTACCTGTTTTCTAATTAATACTTCTTGATTTCCAAGTTCAGAAAGTCTAAGTATGTTCTCAATTTTGTTACTGAATGGCAAGCTTTGCAAAAAAGTGAAATGAGTGCATTAAACTAATAAGAATATCTGGTATTCCCAGAATGTGACTCATCAGCAAAGGGTATGTAATCCAGCCCTCTCAAACTGAGGAACTGGGGAAAGAAGACAGAGGGTGAGGGAACATAAGTTACTGACCCTTTGTAGCCCAGCCCGTCTTTTATCCTGTGAGAGGACCACAACCAAATTTGATTGATACAAAAAGCAGTGTATTTGTTGCAGAAAACCGTTCTGGAATTGCAGGTTTTGAAAAAGTGCTGAGAGGTCTGATTGTTAACCAACTTATGCAGTGTCATACATACTTTTCAAGTTCCTGTTTGGGGCATGAGTATACAAATCAGGTACTTGAAAATATAAAAATGTTTTTTAAATGTTAATATAGGTAGGCATCTATAGATACCTGACAGGAGATGTTACAACTGATTTACGTCTCTTGCTGGATCTTCTTTTAATTCTGTTTTCTAAGAACACTTCTATAGCAGACTAAAGGAACAAATCCTGCTAGTGCGTGGAAGCAGAACCTGATTTAAGTGCAGATGTGTGGTAGAGAGTACAAGAATTAATTAGAGATTAGGTAGAGAGTAGTACAAGAATTAATGATATAAAAAGAAGATAGGGAATTTCTTTGTGAAGTATGTGTAGTGTCTATGCAAATTCCCGTGTTTGTTTTGGACATGAATGGCAAAGCCTGAATCAAGGTTATCCAGACTCCGAATAACTTGGAAGTTCTGAAACAGTGCTTCAGTGTTCTCGAACACTTTGCTCTGAAGTCCAAAGTATCAGCTCTTGTTTGGAGAAAACACATGAAAATACCTTTAATTCAGTGTGGTGGTTTATTAAATGTGTGTTTACTTAGGTAAACAGTGTTTTCAAAGTAAAACCAAATGCAGCCATAAACACTCTTGCGTGTGTATGTATTAGTAAGGATATTGACTAGCAAATAAAAGTTGGGCCAAGTAGCGACGGAGGGGTCACTGACATAATAACGTTTATGCCTTGTATCTAAGGCTGACAAAATTTTGGCTAATGCTTAGAGAAATAAAGCAAGAAGGGCTGATCGTTGAACTGCTAGTGGCTGCCTCTCGGAATGAAATTTTTGCTTAGCGGTTGGAAAGAAAGAGAAACGATCATGGAGGAATTCAGATAAAACACAAACCTTCAGTGTGTAATCTCATTAATATAAAAAACACAAATTCCTTGAAAAACAAAATTGACTCCATCTAAAACATGTTGATTTTAAGTGTGCTGAAATAATAATGTAGGGGCCAAGAAGGACAAGCAGTCAGATTGCTAAAAAACAAAACCAAAACAAAACAAAAAAACAGCACTTGTCTTCAGTCCAATTACTTTAGTTCTTCCTTTTTCTGATGGAAAGAAATTCATGCATTAAGTTATAACATTTACATTCAGTCTAGCTTACTACTCTGAGCACCACAAAATTAATTTTTTTTTCCATTAAAGCCTTAGTGGCAATTAGGAAATGTTACCCCTGACTTCTGTAGCTTTTTTAATAAAGCAGGGTCAGAATTTGAGTATACCACTTAACTGTATTTTTTCCCCGTCTGAATTCCTGTAATTAGCACTATAGTTTTATACTAATTTTGATAGTAAAGGTTTTTGTTATTTCTGAAGCAGGCATGTTAGTTTATTGTTTAGTATTTTTAGACTACTTTGAAATTTTCCCACTTGTAAAGTAATTAGGATTTCAGAATCCAGTGCACGGGAATGCGATACTTGCTTTAAGATCAATGCTGTATGAAGTGTGAGTCAAAAGCAGGTATGTGAGTCCAGCCTTCTCAGCCTTGGGCAGAGGTGGGAAAAATAACATGATTTACAAAACGAAAAAAAAAAAAAAAAAAAGGAAAAAAAGAAGTACATTTCTAAGTTTCTGGACTACGTTGATTGAAAGCTGACCTGTTTCTGCAAGAGATGAAAATGTGTCTTGATGGGATATAATGTCTGGTGTAGGTAGGTATTGCTCTTTAGCTTGTAGATTAGCCAATTTATTTTTGTCTAACATACTGATGAGTAAAATCTGCCTTGCCTGTCAGAGGAAATCCGTTTATTCAGGATATTTGAAGGGGGTCAAAACACATTGTACTGTGATCTTTGCAGTGTTTTAATTTGAGTAAATTAGAATGTCAGATTACCTTGCAAAGAATTGATTTTAAAAAATCAATGATGATTTTTTCAAATCAAAATGATTTTTTTTTCTTAATTTCTTATCCCTGCATTACTGATGTAAGCTGTAGTTGGCAGCTGCTTTGTTTAAATAGCATTTGTGATTTTATCCTGACTATTCCTGTACAGTTTGGAGCAGCTGGGAGCAAGTCGTTGCGAGGGCTGGGGCAGGCTGTACTGGAGAAGAGGTTTGTTGTGTGAAAGAGCAAAGGCTTCAGATGGACTTTCCCTCTCCCCGTGTTCTCCTAGCTACCTGCTGAATCCTCCCTATGGGCAGCTCCAGTTGAAAATCCCATCAGAACAACAAAGATAGGATAAGCTAAAGTGCCCTGAAGTGAGTAGCTTCAAGATGGGAAAAAGTTTATTGTGTGTTGTTTTTTTTTTGTTTTATTTTGTTTTTAGTGAGGCCAGTGAGCAGGTATGTAAGGGGTGCGACTTTCCGTTCGGTGGCAGGTACGTGGCAAGACTTGCATGTTTCTTTTTCCACTGCTTCCAAGAAGTCTTGGATCTTGTGCGCTGGCCAGTGCAGGCTGCTCCAAAATTTTCTCCACTAAGGATTGGGAAGATTTATGGAGGGGCTTGTCTGCTGTGATAAGAGGAAAGTTTCTGGAAATTTTTTAGGGCCTTTTGTCTCTTTCTGTAGGTCTTAATGTTGGACATAGAGTAAAGCTCGCACTTGGCATCTGGCCATGGTGCATAGTACAAGATTATTGACCCAGCTCTTCTGAAAGCGGTTCATTTAAACTGCGATACTCTGGTGGCAGGAGCTGTTTTGTATCCAAGCATACGATAAAGTGAGACACGGTGGAGTCTGTGGGCTAACTGGGATTTTTAACTCTGGCTGCAGTGCTTATGTTCAACAATGAGACGGTGTTTTCAGCATTCTCTTCAGGAAAGTCCTAGGGCTTGTTTTATTTGTTTGTACCAAAGTAAAGAAGGAAAAAGAAACTACAAAAGGTATTTTTTTTTCTTAATCTGAAGATCTATAGAGAATAATTGTGTAAAAGATGGCAGTAGTAGTGTTGTCTCAAAATCCCAGAGAATATAACTTTTCCTGATGTGTTGTGCTGCTGCAAGCCAGAGGCACAATCAAATCTGGGGATGATAACAGGTGCTGTTAAGTTCAAGTGAGATTATTCCACACTTGATATCTCACATACCCATTTGGCATTCAGATTTCTTTTCTAGATATTGTAAGTTGTGACCAAAATAGACACTGAGATTCTTTATTAAAACTTTGTCAAGGTGCTGAACAGAATAACTGATAGGTATAAATGGTGTTTAGATTAGAGCCAAACGGAGCAGAATTACATTAGGGATGAGACCGGTCCATTTTAAGGAAAATAAATGAAATACAGCAGCTAATTATAGCTAACTAATACCAGGCTGTTGGTACAGGGAAGAAGGGCTCTGCCACTGATTCCATTTCAAATTATAAAATGGTTGAGCAGTAGCAAAGCATGCTCAATACTGATATGGAAACGTGAGCATGCAAAGATCTAAAGCTCTTTTTTGTAAGTGTTGCTGAAGGGTAACACACAATTTTAAAGAAATATGTTGTTTATGTACAAGACATGTTCAGTAGGTTGTTCCTCAGCACCGGTTCTGTACTGACAGAATCCCATAACGGCTCCGGTCAGGAGGGCTGCTTGTCCCACCCTCTGCTCACAGAGGGGCCGGCTTGGACTGGGTGGCTCAGGGTGAGTTTGAGTGCTCTGAGTATGGAGATTGGATGCCTCTTTGGGCTACCTCTTGCAGTGCTTGGCTATCTTATTGTGAAATTTCTTCCCTGATCTGATGGGGATGTCCCACACTACACCTTGTGCCCGCTGCATCCCACCACCCCAGTGCCCTTCGCTGGAAGCCCTTCCCCAGAAAAGAGCCTGGCTCTGCCTCCCCTCTACCCTGTGATCTGGCCATTGGAGATAACAGTAAGATTTTACCCTATTCTCTTCTGGAGACTCATTAGCCCTATTCCTCAGGCTTCAGAAAGACCGAAGGGTCTCCTGTAGTGGTGCAGTTGTGTGGCAGCGTGGCTGATAGAGCTGCTCGTAGCCCATGGGGGCACCTCTCCTCCACCCACAGCCCTTCCCCACTGTGCCAGCATGTTGGGCTTCTCTTAGTTCTGCATTCTTGGTAACTCCTGAAATATTATACAAAAAGGCTTAGCGTTGTCTGTAGTGGCAGAAGGCAGCTAGATAGAAAGCAATGGCAGAAATGTCCCTTTTATTTATATTTGACTTTCTTCAAAGGGGTTGGATGATGAATAAGTCGCTAAAATAAATGAACCTCAAAATAGTGTTAATCTTAACAGCTTAACATATTTTAGGAATTGTGTCATTACATTCTTTGCTAGAATTGGGTGTTGTCCTGTGCTACTACTAATAAAATGTGTTAGCAATGAATAAAAATGGATTCTATTTTAGTCAGTGCAAGTATTCCAGCGCGCCTGAGTTCCTCTGAAAACTCACAGGATCAAGTTCTGCCCTTGAAGTCAAATGAAAGGTTTGCATACAAGTCATAGGACGGGTTTTGGGCCACGGTATTTACCTTGGCTTTTATTTTATTTATTTTTGATAATCCAAACTGGAGGAGTTTTTAAGGGAAAACACCATGACAGAAAAATCTTGTTTAAAGATACGCTGGATTCCAGGGTGTGATTTAAAATGCGGAAACATTTTCCTTAGTCCAGTGCCAGTAACAACTCAGTTCTGCATGTAGGTAAGGTCAGTATTTTACAGAAATGGACCAGCACAAGTGATCGTCATGGCTTTAAAATAAGTTGTACATTCAGTTTAGACTTGAGGTTGTAGAAGCAGGAGTATCTTAATTCGGAGAGTATGAAACAGCCGTGCTGTTAGCAGCCTTTGTGCTCATTCTCTCTTTTCCTTTCTGTTACAACTCGGTGTTTCTTTGAGGCTTAAATACACCAGGGCTGCAGCTGAACCTTACTCCAAGGGTTGCTTGGAAATGTGTAGCTGGTTTTCAGAAGTGTAGCTTTTACAGAGGTCTTTCAGCTTTGACGGCGTGTTTCTGTAGGTCCTGGTACCGTTAGCTTTCAGTGTCTGCTCAGCTTCTGCTCGCACCCAGAGGCTGCACTCGAGGTTTTGGGTCTGGCAGTCGGTTACCTGCTGACTGGGTCCATGCAGTGGGCTTGCTTTTTTTCAGCTCTTCGTAGCCAGGGAGGTCCAGCAGCTCGTGGTGGATGGTTCAGCTGTAGCTGGTTTTACTGGTGGTCCTCTTGTTCGCTGACCCACTTGCTTTCATTTAAATTATACCCTTAGCACTCGGGGGTCACACAGCATCAGAATTGGAGCCTCACTTTGGCTCCTGTGTGTGTCTGCAGTGTGAGAAGTCTTGTAATGAAAGAGAAATACACCTTTTTTACAAGCATTCCTTTCTGGAGCGGAGTTTCTGTGGCACTACTGTTACAATTTTAACATCTTAAGGAATCTGTTTTACCAGAGAACTTTCCGACATGGGACTGGAATCTGCTGCTCTGTGGAGGTTTTTAAACTTTCCTAACCATGAAGCTGTTTTCCCATCTATCAAACTACCTTTGCTCCATACATCTTTCACTGGACTGAAAAACTGCTTTTCTTCTATGAGCAGTTCTAACTTAACGCAGTGCTTGTATTACGGCCTGCATTTTTATCAAGTGGGACCAGAGCTGTCTTACAACTTGCAGAAGGAATCTCAACTAAGGTTACACAGGAGCCTCCATTCTATTTTTTTTTTTTAATCTTTTCATATTGATTCTGCAATTAGACTGTAATGATCATTTTAATTTATTTTTTTTAAGCATATAGAAAACAAAAATCACTTAAATAGTCTGGTCCAATGCCCTTTCAAAGCAGATTGTGTTGTCTAATCAAATGTAGATTGTGGTGCTCAGGAAGTTGCCTGCTCACATCCCGGGGAAGGACATCCCTCAGCTGCACCGGGCAGCCTGTTCCAGCCCGTGCTGCAATTTGTGTCCATGTCTTTGTGTGGGCAAGAGTTGTCTGCTCGAGCAAGTTAGATCGCTGCTTTAGCTGCTCATTTTCTTGCTCAGTGGGATGAACCATACCCGTATGTGTGCTTTAATGACCTTGTCTTTGACTGACCGCTTGTCCTGTGCCCTTTTCTCCTTCAGCATCTGGTTCGTCAGACAAGCCATGCTCTGCTCTCCCTGGTCCTGTGTGTTTATTCTGTTTGTCTTCCTCACTTCCCTCGATTTCCCTGTTCCACATGAATGCTTACTGCTAACATCTGTGAGCTGCCCCATCTGGGGCAGGGACTGCTTGCAAATGAAAGACCAGTTTTGGAAGTATTTTAGGGATGGGCCTGTGCATACATGGATTGTTTATCTGGAAGTAACACCTGGTTTTGATATTAAATGTCTCGCCAGTTCTCTTAAGTTTTCAGTGACCTACAGCCTTAGTGTTTTAAAGTTTTTATTTCTAGGTAGCAATGTATTTTATCTAATATGGCAAATATTAACTTTGTTTCATCACTGAAATGCCTCCCTTTCAGATTACGTATTTCAGTCTGTGGTATTACAACAAGCAGAATCAGCGCAGATGGGTAGATTTGGACAAGCCTCTGAAAAAGCAGCTGGACAAATATGCCTTGGAGCCCACTGTGTATTTTGGAGTAGTGTTCTATGTGCCTACTGTCTCTCAGCTTCAGCAGGAGATTACCAGGTAAACTTCTTACACGTGCCTGTAAACTTGTTTGTAGCATTCTAAAATGTATAGTTCACGTACAAATTGTCTGCTTCCCCTCCCCAGCCTTTCTACATACAGAAATTATTACTTTAGGTAGAATTTATGTTCCAATTGTATATTTATTTCCCTTTTGAATATTTAAAACATGTTATAAACTAAACAAAGAATGAACTTTTCAGTGATCTAAGGAATCTATTCAAACCTGTTCTTGATAATAGGAATACTGGCATGGTCAGATTTTTAACCGTTTTAGTCCCTTCATATCAGTCTCTCTCTTACTTTGTTTTGAAGAGCAACACATTGCCTTGGGGGAAGTCCATATTTTGCTCTCAGTACTTTCTGGTATTTACCAACTGTATTGGCAGACATCTGGCTAAGCCTGAATTTATGATTTTTGACTTTCACTGGGCAACAAAGATGTATATTAGCTTTGCTGTCATGTATCCATTTGTACTATGAATCTGAAGAACATCACACAAATGGTGCTAACTGCAGAGGAAGTGTCAAGCTGAGCATGTGTACTAGCAAAATAGTCCTATGGGCCTACACATGGACTTCTAGTGTCTTAAAGTCCGCAGTTGTTCTGATTTCATTATTATTTTTAACAGACAAGTGAGTATTAAACCAGTAACTTGATTACATACATTGCCTGAAAATCCTTTATTATTTTTTTTTCTGGCATTTATTCAAATAATGTGGTTATTATGCTGGAGCTTTAACAGCAATCTTGCAGTGTTTTTGTAAGAAATTGTGTGGCAGCCTTGTCCTCATCCTAGAGGATGGCACTTGCTTCAATTTAAAATTGTGAGAATCTGGATTAGTTTCAGAGAAATCAGTGTGTTGGGGGACTTTTTTCCAGACCTTTTCAATACAAATGAAATTGAGCATCTTTAAGCAAATGGTACATTCAGTGTGTACCAGGAAGAGGAAGCATCACAAACAAAAGAGATCGTATTTGCCCTATTGTCAGGTAGTGTCAAGATCCTTTGTCTATATGTCTGCTTTCGGTAGCTGTTCTATGGAAAGAGCCTATGTTCTGTATTTTGCCTGGTGAAGATTTCTTTTCCCAAGTGCCTCAATGTGCTGTGACTCTTTTTTTTTAAGGCCCGGGTTTGGTTCCACCTATTTTTGTGTGTTTATAAGGATATTATCTGGTGTCACGTGGCATAGTGCTTTTTTGAAGTAGGAGCCAGGAAAAGCCTAAACAATATTTATAAAATGTCACAGAATTTAACAGTTTAGTGAAGAGATCTGTCTTTTGACACGTGAGTAGCATGTGCTTCTGTGTTCTCAGTGTTAAAGCCTTACTTCACAACAGTTAACATACAATATGAGGAAGTTAAGAAACTTTTGAAACTAGACCTACAGAAGACAAATGTCCTTCTTGGCCAAATCTGTGTGGCTATACTGGCATTTGTGAGTCTTGAGGTGCTTGGGGGTAACATATATTAGCTAAGAGAGGGCGCACCATGGTTGGCTGAAAGGGCCAGAAGAATTGAAGAAAACAGTGGTTCAGGCTGTGGACAAATGGTACACCTAGTAGTGCTTGCATGTTGAAGAGATGGCCCAGGAAAAGGTCAGATTAAAGGAAAAAAAAGTGAGTACCCAGGAGTTGTAATGCAGAAATGGAAGTAACTAATGCGATGGAAGGGATGTGCATATTTGATTTATGGGAAGGGAATGCAGAAATGCAGTGCACTGGACATTGTAAAGAAGAGATGGTAAGAATATTAAGGAGGGAAGACAAAAATGCATGATTTTGAGGGTATGGTATTAGACAGAAATTGTGGACATTCTTTGACTTAAGACAGAGCAGGATTGGATTCTGCAGCAGATAAGTGAAGGGAAAAGTTGATAAAGACCATAAAATACTGGGTCTGAATGATGAGGAAGACAATCCTCCACAGTTACTAGTGAATGCAGAGAGGAACTGGAAATGAAGGCATGCTAATCTGTAGTCTCTTAAATTAAGAAGCTGATGTTAGCTTTTTCATTTTTTTCTTCTTTTTTTTTCTTTTTTTTTCATGTAGGTATCAGTATTATTTGCAGTTAAAGAAAGATATCTTGGAGGGTAACATTCCTTGCACACTAGAACAAGCAATACATTTGGCTGGTTTAGCTGTTCAAGGTAAGTAAGGCAATTATGCCTATTAGCTACTGTTACTTTGGAAATATGGCGATGTATTTTCTATTGCATGCTTTCTGTTTATTGCTTGTAGAGCCATTTCCTTGCTGTAATAAAAATGCAAGAGGTAGTTGCTTTCCAGTATACGTTCCATTTCTGTGAAGCACATTTTTCTTTTCAGTTGGCAGCCTCACAAACACAGCAGCAGTTCCATTCAGTAGGGTAAGAAAGGTTTGCTCCTTAGAACTTCATCACCCAAAGCATGGGCTGGGGAGGGGGACAGTGGGATCAGTGGCCCAGCACTTGCTGGTATTTCTGCGCAGCCCTCAGAAGTATACCCAGGTATCTGACATGTATTTTCAGGAGTTGGGGTTAACCTGAACATCTGAATTCCTTTGGGAGCAAGGGCTCTACCTGGCTGCTAACACCAGCAGAGCTTTTGCCTGTGTCACTGAAGACTCTATTCTGACATTGTCACAAGAGAAAGGGACATATTTTAATAAATAAGCAAATCTGAATGTAGAGTAGTGCTTGTATCTCCACTTCTTGTCCCAAATATCTGAACGCCAAAGATCATTCCAAGTTAGTATACAAGGCTGTTAACAATTCTTATGTTCAAATCTTTCCTGAAGATCGCTTTCTCTGATACCTCCATGAAATTGGCTACTTTTCCTCATTAGGGTCAAAGGGGATAAACTACTTAAAAAAAAAAATAATCAGCTGTCCTCAGTCTGTGAGTTCTGATCATGTCTGGTGTTCCCTGCTAACCTGCTTGTTCAATCTCAAATCTCTCATGTTAACAGGTTTTAATGGCAACAGCTTTTGTTGAGTTTGTATATTGCTTCACTCCAGTGGACGTGATGTGGATGCGACTGGAGTATATCTAGCAGCAATTGTAAAACTGCCAAAATTGAGAAGGGCTTAGTCACTGCCAGTACATGTAACTTAGTGGTGTTTTTGTTGTTGTGTTGTGTTTTAATTATGTGTTTTGGTAGTGTCATGTTAAAGATTGTGAGTATGTTTCTCTGAGAATATAGTTACCAGTGGAGTAGGATTAATAATGTTAGTGCCTTGTTTATATAACAGTGAATCTGTTTAATCCAAGCCAGGATTTAATAGTCTTCAACTGGCAAAATCTTACTTCATTATTTTCATATCTTTGGACAGTGTAAATGTCTCTCTGCTCAGTAAGTTGTTTACAGAAATCTTTCAATATAATCTTCTTTCCAGATGGAAAATATTTATCCTTTTAGCTTACACATTCCTCTTTCAGTCTTGGGTAGAGAACTGCATGTGTTGATAACATGATGAAAAAAACAACTTAGAAAAAGTGCAGGTTCTAAATTAATGCACTCCAATGACTGAAGTAGCTTATCCAAGGTAGGTCAGTTAATTTTAGCTAGTGAACTAACAGAGGCAATTTGCTGTTTTGAGTGAACTGAATTCAGGAATGATTTCTGTTTGAAATAGTTACAATAGGCTGCTTCTAAGCATTGCTTTATCTCAAGTGCTTAGTTGATCTAGTGTGTCACAAGTTCTCCCCTTTAATCACGAGTAACTTGCATAGTAATCATTAATGCACAATAAAAATTAGATTCCTAAATGTCACTATAGTTATACCATTATAGGTGAGAATCTGTGATAATGTAAATAAGATCCGTGTACTTGGAAATCATGTTTATATGGTTTGGAAAAATTGTTCCCTGCAGACTGTTATTCCTTAGAATAGTTTCTCTTTTGAGACTGTACATAAGTTTTCTGATTTAAACTACTTTATTTCTTTGAAACGTTGGCTTCTTTTTTCTTGGAAGCATAACAAAACAAATTCTTTGGAATGCCCTTTGGCGTGACACAAAATCAACTCCTTTAGTACATCCTTTCTGAGCATACCTTTGAATCAGGAAAGTCAAGACTTCTATGTCCCACTTTCCACATGTCTTTGTGCAGGGAGCTGTTGAAGGCTGGTGAGCAGGAACTTTGGTGTCCAGGGTGCTCCAGCCACTCAGGACCTAGTGGTGAGAACAGTTTGTCAGCTCTATGCTGCAAGTGCAGTTGCGTATAATCTAGTATCAGACAGGAGGGAGTAAGGAAGATTGAGCCAGGCTCTTTTCAGTGGCTCTCAGGGACAGGATAAGAGGCAATGGGCACAAATTGAACTACAGGGAATTTCATCTAAACATAATGTTTTCTGCTGTAAGAGTGGTGAGACATGGGAACAGGTTGCCCAGAGAAGCTGTGAAGTCTTCATCTTCTGTATTCAAAATCTGACTGGAGAAGGCCCTAAGACAGTCTGCTGGAGCTGACTTACTTGAGCAGGGGGAGAGAGTAGTCTCCAGAGGCCCTTTCCAACCTCAACTGCTATGCGTTTAAAAAACAAGCAAATAAAAACCCAAGGAACTAAGGAACTTGAAGCAGCAGTATTCGTTTTATCATTTCTTCTCCTTTCATATCCACAAGGAGTCTCATCACTTTTTTCCGGTAAAAAGATGGAGTGTGATTTTATTTTTCCTCTTCATAAACGTTACTTAAAGATACTTGGTGTATTCCATTGCTTTACATTCAGATCATAGTTCAATAGGGTGGGGATTTGCTACTTGGAAATCCTTCTGCAATTAATTGGGTATTGAATTATTTTGTTACAAATGTTTGAATCCAGGACTTTTTTTTCCTAGCTGATTTTGGAGACTATGATCAGTATGAATCTCAGGAGTTTCTTCAAAGATTTGCTTTGTTTCCAGTTGTAAGTACTTTCTTTAAATTCTCTTTTTGGCATTACTGAACACAATTACACTGTGTTATGAAGAGCCCTCCTTTGTACTGAAGAAAAATACAAGATTGATAAATACAAATCATCATTAAAGATGCTGTGATCCATCTAGTTTACTGCTTCCAAGATAGTCAAATTCAGAAAAAGTTTTCTCTGAGGCTGGAGTGAGGTGTGATAAAGTATATTGCACAGAAGCAAAGATGTTGCAAGATCTTTTCAGTTTTATTGTATATTATACTGAAAAGAAGGTTGAGGTAGAGACAGGGTAGTTTGAAGGTTGAGGTAGTGAGTAAAACCACTTCAAAACAGTTTATACTTTTTGGCATTGTTTGTGTTAATATCCAGCATCTAAGCTCCAAAATTAGAACAAAGGGTTGGTATCTCTGTCTAAAATGGCTCCAGTTTCTTTATTTCATAGAATATTTTGTAGTTCATTCTATAAATGCTATCTTATATTAAGGGTTGGCTACAAGAAGAAAAAATTTTGGAAGAAGCGACACAAAAAGTTGCCTTGCTACATCAGAAATATAGGTAAGATTTCTAAAACTCTTTATTGCTTAATTTCTTAACATGGTTGCTCTGTAAGTTGGGTATCTCAGAAGGCAGTTGAACTAATTTCACCTCTCTTTTAAATGAGCTTTGCGCTGATACAGTTTTGTTAAAATACAAATTTTTGCTGAATGAAAGTGAAAAGAGAATGGAACAAACAACTGCTAAAATGAAGGAGAAGATTATACTTGAAAATTAAAAATATGGGATAGAAGTAAATTTTGCGACTTAACCTGTATAATGTTTATGAAACTTGTTTACAACATGAAGCTGCTGACCCCAGTAAGGAGGTTTCTCGATGAACAATGTTGACAGGTACTTTGAGCAACAGAAGTGTAGAGACAGTCACCATGCCAGAATGCATGGTCTAAGTAAAAGGCATCTAAATGCAGTGGTCCAAGACAAAGGAAAGTTAAGTTCTAATTGTCAACTTATCAGTGAAAAGTGTTTGTGTCTATGTTAGTAATACTGATTTTTTGTTTGTTTTTTTTTTTTGTTTTGTTTTTTTTTGGGGGGAGGGGCATTATTTTAAAACAGAGGTTTGAGAATTTGAAATCCATTTATCTCTGAAATGTTTTGGCACCCACATTAAACAGTTAAGGTTTAGCAAAGGAAAAACAGTCTGCATAACATTAAGAGAAAGTGAAGGAATAGAGAGAATTATGACTGAAAAAGCATTGAGAGACATAAGAATGAATTACACAATTTTTCAGGTAGAGATAACGTCTTCTTTAAGATCAAAAGGCTAAGACAAGTACATCAGCCATTGGTACAGATGGAAACAGTTTGTCTAGATGGTTGCCTGGGTGTTTTGAGGGTGTTTTTGAAGCTTTAACAGTGACATTCAGAGTAAAACAAGCATGATTTTTGATTATTGACTGAACTAGCTGATCATGTTATCATTGTTTTAATTTTCACAGAGGCCTTACTCCTCCTGATGCAGAAATGTTATATATGCAAGAGGTAGAGAGAATGGATGGCTATGGTGAAGAGACCTATCCTGCAAAGGTAAATGGGGTGCTGATTTTTGTCTCAGTTGCTTTTCTTCCCTATGTAAAAAGGGTTACTTACTGACAAAAATAAAAGCAAATAAACAAACAATAAGCCTGTCCTCCACGTCCCCACCAAAACAAAACAGACATGCTTCCTATCCTCAAAAATTGTAGAAGTAGTTGATTCTCATGCAGCTTTGCTCTCAAAGACTTTATTTCCGTTTGTGTGTATTTTTTTGCAACTTCTTACAGGACAGCCAAGGAAGTGACATATTCATTGGAGCATGTCTCGATGGTATCTTTGTGAAACATAAAAATGGCCGGCCGCCTGTTGTATTTAGGTTGGTATTGTTCTTTATTAAAATATATCTATAATATTTTATAAATAACATTTTGTGTATGTGCCTCACTATCGTGGATGTTTCTTAGATATGATGTGTGCTTATTCATTTGATAAACCTGGGCATAGTCCTGTAGTCCTTATAGTGCGATTAATACTGAATTTCATTGAAATTTTTCCATGTATTGGCTGTAAGATAAATCCCTTTAAACTGGAGTAATTCTAAGAGATGAGTGTGTAATACGCAATCCATTGCAAAACACTTATTGAGTCAAAAAGGAGCAACTATGAACGCAGAATGTCTTAAGTCCTAAGATGTACACATCAGTTTACTTAACAATATTCACTTGGGAAAATATCCATATTCCTTTCAAATATTATATATCAAAGGAATAGAGAAGAGCTACATGATAAAATTTGTGTCAGTATTTTGAATTCATACATTGTTTTAGTTAGTCTATTACTTAATGTTGTGCCAGCTAAACTGTAGAAACAGCTTCTGTAATTCAGTTGCATTTTGCATGGTTTGAAAATCAGGGTTTGCCAGTCATGGTCTGTCCCTTTTGTCTGCAGGTGGCATGACATTGCCAACATGTCTCACAACAAATCCTTTTTCGCATTAGAGCTGGCAAACAAAGAAGAGACAATTCAATTCCAAACTGTGAGTGAATTTCTGTTTTGATTTTTTTTTTTCACTAAGACATCAGTAAATAAAGCCACAAATTAACTGCTAATTTTTGTCCTATGAATTATTTGTATATCTTTAGCAGCTTTGAATTATATGAATGAGTCAAATGCAATAATCTAGCCTCTGGTTAGCTTTCTAAGGGAAAGTGCTTCAGAAAGGAGAAGGCATTAAATCTGACCTTTTATGTGGAGTGCATTGACAAGGTTTGTTCACGTGCTCATAAATATTTTCATCCATTCCAGTAAAATGTATAGCATGTTTTCTTAAAATGTGAGGTCGGTGGCATTTAAAGATGAGCATGTTCTTAGAGCTATGCTGGAATGGGCCACAATGTGCTTTGCAGAATCATGTTCATCTAGCATCTAGCACTTGCCTTTGTGAAGAAGGCAGCTGTTGTATCTGATGGCACCGTATGTATATACTACAAAATGTGTTTGTGCTATAGTAGATATTTACAAGAAAAGGTTTATTTCAGCTTTCATAAATCTAATAAAATTGTCAGGCTAAAGTGTATGTTTAGGCCTGCAACATATGATTTTAGAGAAAATCTGATGACTTCAATGAAGTTAATTTAAACAAAATCAGATAATACTTATTTAATCTAAAAAATTTCAGTGGCTTCTATGAGGGCAAGTGATGGATATACATATTTTGCCTAATGTGCACATTTTATTTATTTATTTATTTATTTTGCAGGAAGATATGGAAACAGCAAAATATGTGTGGAGGATGTGCGTAGCTAGACACAAATTTTACAGACTAAATAAATGCAGCCTGTAAGTAGAATACCTTAGCAGAACTCTTGGTGCCCTTGAAACTTCCATGGGGAAGTGAAGTGTATAATAATCTCTGTAATGTCCGTACTGTCCTTTTTAGATTATACTAATTAATGACTTGTATTTTTTCCCTAGTTGTTTTTGAGAAATTTTTTGTTACCAATTTCTCAAACTTACGCTTTAGTGTGGTTCATAGTGGAGGACAATATTAAACACTGAAAATCTTACCAAAAGTAGTAACGTTTGGCCCCTGCTGCTGGATCTCAGTGCAGTGACAGACATTAGTTGCCTTGGAAGCTACTAGTGCTAGAATGTTTGTTGGAATCACTGGGATTGGGTTTAACCTGTGTTTGGGTGAACTGCTCTGAAAGGACACTCTGAAGGCCTTTAAAAGGGCGGGAAGTGTATGTGAAGCACTCCTGAAATGTGCTGGATTGACAGCTGAGAGGTATGTGGTCCTTTGGATATCCATGGAATTTGTATAGCTCAAGTAGCACTAGTGCAAAGTAAATTTAATACAATTCATCAAATTAAATTTAAATGGGCTGGTCTCCAACTTGTAAATCAAGGGGTGGAATTTGAGCTACTCTTCTCCACTGGTACAGATTTCCCTCAGTTAAGTTACTTCAGCCAAAAATAGAGAATTAGATCCACTGAACAGATTACATAAAAAGAAAAAAGTGTTTTCCAGATGTACCATTCCTCCTCTTTGTACATATACCTCCAACAACCTATCTATAGAGGTGCTGATGCAAAATTTTCTGTGGCCACTGGAAAGATAATGGAATATTTTCCACAACAGATGACTCCCTAGCATGGTTCATGCTAGCTCATCTTAGAAGAAGAAGATTAATTTTGAGTAAAATAGCCTCTGTATCTCTAAACTTGTAAGCTTGGCTACCTTTTGAGAGGACTGAGAAGTGTTGGTAGAAGTAGTGCATGTGTGGGACTTGTGCGTTGCATTCTGAATGTCAGTTCCATAGAGTTCTGTATTGAATGTCAATCTTTAGGATGACTCTCTACTTTTGACGCTTTCACCACAACATGTTTTTATTAATAGGAAAAGTCCTCAAAAAAACCCTTTCTGATAATCTCTGTTCTGTTACTTCCTATCATCTGGTCCTGCTGCTGAAAACTGTCTTATGCATACCTGTATTAAGTTCAGGCTTTTTTTTTTCTTTATCTGTATGTACCTTTGTCTTTAGAGATTCCCTGGACTCTCCACCTGAGGAGGGCTCTCAGAAATCTTCCCTCATTCTTTCCCTTCCACGCTTTCCAATCCTTTCTCGTCCTTCACTTCCCAAAGGGTGAGCTGAAAAATCATTTCTTTCTGAAATCTGTCAGTTCCTGCATTTGTTCTCTGCCATTTTTTTGACCTCTGTCTTGCTGCAGGATGCATTACAGGGTGAGGAAAAAGGAGCTTAAGGTTTCTGAACAGTCCATCATGGAGGCACTACAAAAATTATGAAAAGTTATTAACATTAGCTAAACTAGAGCATAAGAATTGCACTGTAGTCATGCTTTTTAGTTCCTCTAATGTTGCAAATATTAAGGACCACTTGTAAACAACTTTATGTATGGTCTTGTAGAACAGGGAACTTTTAGTATGAGATTTTCTATGGGATTCAAATTTGGAACCCATCCCCTTCCGCCCTGTTACACAGCTTCAGGGCCACCTTCTTTGTATGCTTCATATAAAGGATTCTGCTAGTAGCAATGGTGGTTTATGCACCAAGCTCTTCCCTTTTCAGGCTGTAGGAAGGACTGTTTAACAAAGCTCTAAGAAATGCAGAGTGATTTTAACTGACCTTGCAAGCACTTCCAAAGGTTTGAAATAAGTCTTGGTGTTGTAAGAATGATTTCTCACCATAATATTTCTTCTGTAGGCAAACCCAGCCCGTTACAGTGAATCCTGTTAGAAGGCGATCTTCTTCCAGGATGTCCATGGTAAGGAGAGCAAATAGTTTCATATTTGCATTTTTAGTGATTTAAATTGACTATGAAACAGACATTACTTTCCTTCAGTGAAGTAAGATGAGCAGTGAAAAAGATGAGTATCTACTATGTGAATAACTGTTTCTGACTTGTAGAAAAAGCTGCTATAAAACATCTGAATAATGGAATTAAAATAATTACAGTAAAAATATTTTAAACACTTCTATTTTTAGTGTGACTGCTCTGTCTCTTAGGGACTCTCCTATATCTCAGATGGCAGGGTTTAATCTTGGGTTGTTTGGTTTTGTGTTTTTTTCAAATACATTTCTTGTGTGGCCTCTCAGGAGAAATTTACTTGCAGATTTAGAGAAATGTTTTAAGTCTTAGACTCTGTTTCTGTGCATGCATGTAAATTTCAAGAATTCTATATTTAAAATAAATCATGAATTCTTTAAATAATAAAATTCTCTCTTAGCCCAAGCCTCAAGCTTACATGATGCCTCCACCACCTCAGCTGCATTACAACGGTCATTATACTGAACCATATGCATCCTCCCAAGGTAATTTGTAGCAGATTTGAAAATTTCCAATTCTTGAATAATTTTAAACAAGGTGGAAAACAGACAGATCTTGTGATTTAAATTTCATGAAGCACACCACTTTAGAGGGTGAATGCTGTAATTTGTAGTTTTAGCTATTTAGCTAGAGCTGGACAAAATTTACAGGCTGACAACAGGCAGGTTAGCATGGCAACTCTCATTGAAGTGCTTGCTGCTAGTCTGCGTGTGGGCTGACATGAAAAGTGGGATATGAGAAAAAGTAGTTAGGACAGCAAATACAGCAACTGTTGGTTGTGGTCCCTTGCATGAATTTAACTGACCAGTTTTTTTGGTTTATGTATCAAGCTGGTATGGTATGGCATTCTGAGATCCTTGTCAATATTGATCTTAATAGCTGCTTAAAAACAGGATGTAGGGTGAGTTGAGTTTCTCTCTGAGTTTGCTAGACTACATAGTGGTTGGGAATTGAAAGGCTGAGAACTGTAAACATATGTTTAAAAAAAAAAAAGGAAAAAAGAAGTATCAAGGAGTGCACACTCCTAAGCAGTTTCAGTGTGGAGTCATGGCTGCTTTCTCTGCTTTTTTGATGGTTACAAATAATGTCTAATTTACAAGGCTGCTTCCCTAGAGAGGTTAATCTGATCTTTTGCAAAGAGTCCTCAGTTTTGATTGGAACCTTCCAGTCCTACAAGTCAGCTAAATCAAAAAATACTCATAATAACTCTTTGGTAAGGGAATGAGCACATTTTCAATGTAAATAGTTGCATGAATATTCATAAAGGTACAGATATGTAGATTCATAATGGACCTGAATTATTTCCAATATGGCATTGGAATCATTACATTACTGGGCACAGTGAATGCTATCGCACTTCATATCGTGCTACTTTTGAATGTTATTTTTAACAAAGAGAAGAATTTTTGGTTGTTACGCAATTCAGTAACATAAGTGTGCAATGATGAACTTGGTGTTAGATCATGAGAGGCATCTAAAAAATGGCTTAATTGTTCTTCTATGAAGCTTGGCAAATTGTACATCCAATGAAGTAATTGTTGAACTATTAAATATATATTGTGCATAAACTATTAAAACATTTTCTTTACCCACCAGAGTGGGTATATGTTAACGTGCAAACAATACATAGTTGTTGTTTAAACTGTGTCCAAATTTTCTGCAGAAATGTTAAATTGATTTTTTTAAAGGTCTTGGGCTAATAAATACTAAAGGTCTATATCTACTTATGACCTGAGAGTGTTTTGAAGAGGAGAGGGGGTGTTTGTGTTTTTGTTTGTGTGTTTGTTTTCTTGCAATTTAAGCTGATCTCATTAGGTTAGTACAAACCTTGGTGTAAATGTCCGTTCTTTCTTTCAAATAGAATGGTTTACAATTTGATATAGATTTGTTTAAGTTAGAATTAAACTTAACACTCCTATCCTAAACTGAAAAAAGCCATTCGTAAACTGAGATAATGCTTTCCAGTAGGAGTTTGCATCATCTAAATGAACATACCAGGTCATTCTGTTGTGTATACCTCAGGTGTCAACAACACCAAAAACTCTGCTTTTTTCTTTTCCCAATTCAAGACATAGTTAAGAACAACTGAGATTTTGAAAATCTCAAGCTTCAGTTAGCTACATCTTAATAGAGAGTATCTTTGTTGTTCAAGGTCTTGAACATAAAGCTTGTTCTTAAACTTTACTTTCAGATAACCTCTTTGTGAGCAATCAGAATGGATACTACTGTCACTCTCAGACTAGCTTGGATAGAGCCCCTCATGACTACGGTGGTCGAATCCGCAATGGTAGTGTCTATAGTGCACATAGCACAAACTCCCTGAATAATCCACAGCATTACTTGCAGCCATCCCCTATGTCCTCTAACCCAAGCATTACTGGAAGCGATGTCCTCAGGACTGATTATGTCCCATCACACAGACACAGCGCGCTAATACCACCTTCTTATCGGCCCACGCCAGACTATGAAACTGTGATGAGACAGCTCAAAAGGGGAATGGTACACACAGATAGGCAGAGTCATTCAATGAGAAATCTCAACATCAGCAATACTTATGCCTACAGCCGGCCCGATGCCTTGGTTTACAGTCAACCTGAAATAAGAGAACATGCACACTTCACTTCCCCTCAGTCTAACCATTACCCATTTAACCTGAACTACAGTTTCCATAGTCAGTCCCCCTACCCCTATCCTGCTGAAAAGCGCCCAGTTGTTGGGGCAGTCAGTGTGCCTGAGCTGACAAATGTGCAGCTCCAGGCTCAGGATTATCCAGCACCAAATATAATGAAGACCCAAGTCTATCGACCTCCTCCCCCATACCCATATCCAAGACCTGCAAATAGTACTCCGGACCTTTCCCGACATATCTACATTAGCAGCAGCAACCCGGATCTTATCACGAGGCGAGTGCATCATTCTGTCCAGACATTTCAGGAAGACAGCCTGCCTGTGGCACATTCTCTACAGGAAGTCAGTGAACCTCTAACATCGGCACGCCATGCTCAGTTGCAGAAAAGGAACAGTATTGAAATAGCAGGCTTGACTCCTAGCTTTGAAGGAATAAGAATAAAAGAGAGGACCATGTCAGCATCTGCAGCAGATGTGGCTCTTCCAAGAGCTATCTCGGAAGGGTCACAGCCCAACATTCTGATGGAGAGAACCAAACAAAAAGAAAATGAACAAGATGAAGGTGTGAGCTGTGATCATAAGAAAACCCTTTCAGATGCCACTATGCTGATTCACAGTAGTGAAGAAGAGGAAGAATTTGAAGAAGAAAACAAAGCTAGTACTAGTCTCTCTCCTCTCCCTGAAGATAGAACCCAACTTTCATCCATAATGGGTGGTTATTCTCATGATCCTGTACTCAACTACCCCTATAGCTCTGTTGCTTCATCTGCTGGCCCTTTGCATATTCTTGAGCCTAAATTACATATTACAGAGACAGAAAAGAGAATAAAAGATATGAGCCCGGTTCATTTATTAGTAGAAAGCCAGGTACAGAGAAGAGGGGAAGGACTGCTTATGCCATCTATGTCAGAATCTGACCTTACAATGTCAGGGAGATACAGAGTAAGGAAGGATTCGATAAAGAAGAGACCTGTGTCTGATCTTTTGTCTGGGAAGAAGAATATTGTGGAAGGCCTTCCCCCACTAGGTGTAAGTGGATATTATTTCTCTTGGTTTGTGTTGTTTCAGATTGTTCTGTGACCAGAGTTGTGTGGGGTTTTTGTTTAAGTGTTTTTGTTGTTGTTTTTTAATCAACCTGAGAGATGCTTTTAAAATGTGTGAATTAAAGCTACTTTATTTCTCTATTTTCTCTCATTAACTTTGTTTAGTTATCTTTTCTCTTTCTCCGTCTCTGCCATGTCTGAATTCTGTTTGGTAGAGTCCTCCCACACAAATCCAACTGTGCAGCCTCCCTTAATCTGACACACTTAAACTATCTAGCAACTGGAGAATTAGCTATTTTAAAGTTGGTTCTAGATCCCAAATTCTGCCCTACCTATGCTTATCTGGAACAAAACCAACTGTTTCCATTCCGCTACCAGCTTTCTAATATTAGAACTGAAAAATCAGATGTAGCTCAGTGTTTACATTTTTGATTCGTTTACCCTCTTATTCTGACCTAAGAGTGTAATCTGACACATTAGGCAGTAAATTCTTCCCTGGTATTCTCTTATTTTCTTTCCTTCATTCCTTCCTCTTTTCATATCCTTTCCCTTTTGCCTTGCCCTTAAGCTGGTTTTATCTCACTGAAGTTACTTCTTGCTTGCAATGCCCCTTTATTCTACTACAACCTTATGAATACATTAAAAGAAATAAATCGGACAACTCAAGTTTCACTTTTTCTATAATTCCTACTTTGCAGGAACCCCAAGGCTTCTTTGGGACTGTATGATTTTACTCAGTCTTTACTACTCACTTTCTTTAGTTTTATGCAGACCCTCTCATATTTCACACCCTAATAGAGAAAGACCACTTTTATTATTATTTTGCCTTTTTAAAAATTTAATTGTTGCTAACTTTGCCTGCCTAAGAGTGTCAAATAGTTTCCTGCACAAATTGGACTGCAGTGGACCTACTATACAATGTGTGCTGCTGTAGTAAAGGCCAGAGCTGATGCTTCAAATGCTAACGTAAATGATGTATATAAGTAGTTACTGTACTTTCATTTTTTGTGTGTGTCAGACTTCTTATATATATGGAGCTAAACACTATGAAATTAACATTCATCAGCTTTGATTCATTTAAAATTTATTTATGTTTTCTTAAATCTCCTTCCTCCTGTGTTATGTGGATCTAGGGGAAAAAAAAGGTGATGGCTTCTTGTATTCACATTTAGATATACTCTATATTTTTTTTCTCTAAAAGATTTATTTTCAGACACTGAGTCTACCAAAATCATACCCTGCCTTTTCCTTCTGATAGCTATGTAAATATTCATCTTTTGATACAAAGTTGATATTAAAACTTTTTCACTGTAATTGTTCAGTAAATTACTTTCTATTTCAGTAATGTTTAAGAGTGCTCTTGCAGGATAGAAAATTGCCATTTTGTATTCACTATTGAGATGAATTACCTGGTTAAAAAAAAAAGTGTCTCCTACCACTCTTTATGCATTTTGCTTTCCAATGAACTCTTAGTGTTGTGTTTGTGTTCACTTTAAAATGCAGTCTCATCCTCTTAGCTTTGTCTTTGTATTCCTTACTCCATTCAGCTTTCAGAAGCATTTATCACTGTTCAGGCAGCATATTCACCCATATATTCAGTGTTGTGTTTTTCTTTTTTTTTTTTTTTTTAACAACCAAACTGAGCAACTGCAAGAATGATATTTTTTTCCCACTTATGCTTTCTAAAAGAATTGTCTGAATTTATTATTTCATAGAAATCTCCCATTTATATTTCTCTCAAATAAAGAGTGGTCACTACAGTAGTTTAGATTCATAGTCTGCTTCAGGGTTCAGATCTGCCTGTAGTCCTGTGTTCATGTTTTGTATGTACAACTTGTTGTAAATGTAGTGAAACATTCTATTATATCCAGATATCTTAAAGGTGTAGTCTCACTTTAATGCCCACTTGTAGGGAAGAAGAGTGTCTGCAAATTGTGTAGTCCAGTAAAGAACCATTAGTGTATTTATTGGTTGGATAGTGATTCTAGTTCTGTCTAAGAATGTTACTTATCCACAGTAGCTGCCTCACACCCTCAGTTGTGAGCTTTGTAGGGAACAATATTTGTCGTTCTCATGCAGTTTCATTAACCTGTGTGGAATGAAGACAGACTTGTGTTGTGTCCTTGGAGGAATGTAGTCCCACCACCCTAATCTCTCACTGCAGTGCTTATCAAAAGAAGGGTCAGAGCTGTTTGCAGAAGGGGTCAAAGAAGTATCCTTTGCTAAATGGAACTCATCTGGGTTCTGCTTGATAACTTCATCAGTTGTTTAAGAATATTTGTAAGTTCTAGCTTTTCTTTTGCAGGGTATGAAAAAGAATAAAACTGATGCAAAAAAAATAGGGCCTCTAAAGCTAGCTGCCCTGAATGGACTAACTTTGACTAGAATGCCTCTACCAGATGAGGGGAAGGAGGAATCAACAAGAGCAACAAATGATGAAAGGGTATGGTGAAGTTTTTCATGCTTGATTTCTCTTTAACACTTGTAATTTTTCAAAATGAATTGCATATGAATGGTGCTTTATGTCAACTTCAAACTGATTCAGATTCAGAGTAACTCAAATAGTGAGAATAGAAACAAAACAGACAAACTTTTGCTTGCTAAGTCATTGCTAGAAGTATTGGGTGTAACTCAGATTTTTCTTTAAGATTTAAGATGACAGTGATTCTAGTTAGAGTTCACCCTTTGCACACAGAGCAGACCAACTAACATCTACTTACACGTCTTTATGCCAAATCTTTCTGTTTTCTCTTTTAATTTTTGGGTTGTTTCCCAGAATGAAAACAGATTAAACTTAAAATTATGAGTGTGAGCATGAACTTGATTGTAATGACTAGTTATTTATACAGTTTTTACAACAAATTGTGCAGTTATATTGCATTCCCAGGGTACAGCCTGCACAGATTGCATTTATGTTTTCCTTGGGTGACTTCCTGAAAGTATAGATGGAACTTGTGTGATCTGCTGAAATTTGAAATCCATTAAATGATCTCAGATCACTGAGAGGACATCAGGTTCTAGAACAGGATCATACTTTGAGAAATACAAGACTTCATTTTCTTGTGTCAGGGTAACCAATGTCAATAAGCATACTTCAGCCTGCCTCATATACCAATAAATGGGTGCAGAAAAGTGTGAAACATGGTCAATATCCAGCCTGTGAAGGGCTGTTCAGAATAATGCTGTCATCACACATCAAACTGGGGAGCAACTAGAGACACTGAGGTCTGCGATGATTATTGTATATATATTGCAGCCAGTGGTCTCTCTGGAATCTGGTTCTGAGCATGGTCGGGCATCCTCAGCTGCAGACCTCCATCTACCTCAATTTGCTGACAGTCACGGAGCAAGATTAGAACCTGAAGGGAATGGTCACGCTCTCACCAGCTGCAGTTTTAAGGAACAGGCCAAGAAAATTAGTTTCAAATTACATAGTAGAAATTCAGTCTTGGGTTTTGAAGGCTTGAACTTAGGTCTATAGGAGAGAGATTTGACTGTTAACTTCAGCTATGTTGAAACGGCTTTTTGAGCTACATATACTCCTTAAAGATGGTAGGGGAGGACAGAAGTTAACGTTGTGTTATTCAAATACTCTTCTACATTTAGTACCTATGTTAGTTATTTCCTCTTGCTTGTATCTATCATCTCTTCCTTGATTTACCTTCATTTAATTCAGCCATGTTACTATTCAGCTAGTTTTTCCCAAAGTGCTAAGGGAAAAGCAGAAACTGTAAATTGAAGTTATGAGGAGAATGGAAGTCACTACACCTTTGCTTCAGGCAGTCATGTACAGGAAGAATAGATGTCATGAAATGGGAGTGATTCCTAAAGCTGTGAAGAGGCAATACAAATCAGACGTGACATGAAAGAAAGTCCAGACTACAGATATTTTTAGAAGACGAAGACTTCATAGTTGTTTCGATGCCTCTTTCATTGCTCAGCTTCATATTGCGATTAGTTTAAATGAGGAAACCTAGCCTAAAGATTTAAAGGAGTTCGGACAATTAATGTACTGAAGTGTAAATTGCATATGATGGAGATTTTACACCTTCCTCTGCAGCATTTGGCATCAGAGTTATTTGATACAGGATACTTTTCTGATCTGATACCGCAGAGCAGTTGCTGAGAGAGGCTGGGGACATGTGACATAGATGAAATTTTCTGGCTGAAATCTTACATATTTTTCCTCTAATTATTGTTGGCAAAGAGATGTTGAAATTCCAGAAGTGTCTTATGATTTAGAAAGAACTTGGTTTTGAAAGAATAAATCTTTTGGTGGGCTAATTAAATAAAACAGATTGAATTGTACTAGTAGAAAAAAATCCTTGTTTTATATCTGAGCTGCAGCAGGAGGTTCTAAGAAGGATTTACTGCTGTCTTCAACTTTTAATATCTTCAGCCTAAGAAAATGTGGAGTACTGGAGGTGAATGATAAATTCATTGAATGAGGCAAACATTTTGTTTTACATCTCTGGAGTTCTTCCTCCATCTAAACAATAAATGTGACTTCATTTTTTTTCTTGGACTATATGGTTAAATGAGATTTTTCAAATGATTTAATCCAATGTGCTATATTGAGCAGGATGATTAATGAGTATGTCTTGCTCAAAAGTATTTGAGGCAGTTTGTGCTGTAGCATAACCACCTGGTTTGATCCAATATTTATTTTCCAGCTAGGTTGTCTTTATAGAAACTAAGTAGTTTTTTTTTTATACTATTAATATCCGTCCTTTGTGAATTCTGTGTTAAAATAGACTTGTATCAGAATGTGACTTCATGTAGTTATCTTTGTTCTGTCTTTTAGTGTAAAGTTCTGGAACAACGGTTAGAGCAGGGGATGGTGTTTACTGAATATGAGCGCATTCAGAAGAAAAGGCTTATAGATGGTGAGTGCTCAATAGCTCGGCTTCCTGAAAATGCTGAGAGAAACCGCTTCCAGGACGTCCTTCCTTATGATGATACCAGAGTAGAACTAGTCCCAACCAAAGAAAATAACACGGGTTACATCAATGCATCTCATATCAAGGTGAGAGAAAGACTGTTGGAGCTTTTTTTTTTTTTTTTTTTCCCAGTTTATATGGTAAATAAAAATGGACGTGGATATTAATTTTGGTTTTGTCAGATGGCTAAGAATCCTTCCCTCCCTCTCCAGAGGTTTCTAGGGGGAAAGAGGGAACCTGTTTTTCCCTGCTGCTTAGAAGAATAGTAAAGGGTTAATTAATTATTGGAGAGGTCTTTTGGCTTTCATTTCTATACTGGAGAGGTCTTTTTTATTGATCGTCTCTCTCCCATCTCTTCAATCTCTCTCCTGATTGGTACTAACAGAAGGCATGTCCATTCTTCCCATAGTTAAGAAGGAAGGTAACTTTTAAATAAATTGTGATCCTTTGCAATTATGACATTTTAGAACTGCAGTGACAATACTAATTATTTCATCCTCTTCTGCACTCTCCGGCTAGATCCGCAACAGGTAGTAGTCTGGCTCCCTGCTTAAGTTTGTTTGTTTTTTTTTTTTTTGATGGTTAGGGGGAAACAGATGGTGCTAGAGGGAATTCCGCTTTTTCATAATTTTTGGATGACCCTTTTCCCCAGACTTAGTTCTTTAAATTATTAAAAAACAGTTTGCAGAAAAAAAAGTTTGTAGGGTGACCTCAAGAACCTTTGAGGCAGTTCATTCATTTTCAATCTACTTACTAAAGTGCAACTTAGAGTTTTTATTACTTGAGTGGTTGTTGCAGTTGTTTTATTGTCTTATTTTAAATCTGATTCTTCCCTGGTGTAGTACCATAGTTTCTATATTTCAACTCATTTCCAAATTTGGAGTAACTCTTCTGACCTTTCTGAATTAAATAACATTTTGAGGAAACATCAACTAATACTGACTTGTTCTGGTGCGCATAGAAGCATTTGCCTTATCAGGGTATGAAAGCTTTAAACCTGAATTGGCCAGAATACCTTGAATTCACAAAAAAAGAAATATAATGTACAAATAAGTAAAGATAATTTATGCTTATAATGTAAAATACATTTATTTATGTGCTTACATAATTTTAAACATTGTTTCTCTTGATCTGATGTGGCAAGGTGCAGGTAAAAAATTGGAGGAAGGTATAAATCACAGTGTCCTACTTCTGCAATGTTTCTGTTTGTTTCAGTTTGTGCATCTTGAAATGGCTGACGTAGGAACTGGGAAAGGGTTTTACATAATTAGTAATCAAATTTATCTCTTTTTACAGATTTCGGTTGGTGGCATGGAGTGGGATTACATTGCTACACAGGGCCCTTTGCAGAATACATGTCAGGATTTCTGGCAGATGATCTGGGAACAAGGAATTGCCATCATAGCTATGGTGACAGCAGAGGAAGTGAGTACAGACCCAGTCAGGTCTATTCCTGAAAGTTATGCAATGATTTTGTTCTGATCCATTAGAGTAAAAGGATCTTTCCTCCAACAAATAGATTAAAGATAATTTTCTGGTGACCCCTTTGCCACTCTGTATTGTTTTTCTTGGCAGAAAGCTCTACATTTGCAAACTCTTTCCTATGGAAAATTGGTTTATTCAGTGAAAAGCCAGTGCACTGCAGTAGTACTTAATAGAGGGGAAATACAGTTAAAGGAACGTTTGTTGTATGAGTGTTTTCATGTTTATTGTAAAGGAATTGTTTTGCTTTTAAGGAAAGTGGGAGAGAAAAAAGCTTCAGATATTGGCCACGTCTTGGCTCAAGGCACAACACTGTAACATATGGAAGATTTAAGATTACCACACGATTCCGTACTGATTCAGGCTGCTATGCAACTACGGGTTTGAAGATCAAACATCTTCTCACGGGACAGGAGAGAACAGTGTGGCATTTGCAGTACACTGACTGGCCAGAGCATGGCTGTCCAGAGGATTTAAAGGGATTTCTCTGTAAGTTTTATTTAATAGCTTGTTGTTGTTGTTGTTGTTGTTGTTTTTATACCACCTAATATGTCTGCTAAACATTAATTAGCTTTTGATAGCTATGCCAAGCACTCTACTGCAAAAGGTGTCTTTACACCAGTAAGATTAGCTGAATTGTGTTTCTGATAGGAGTACACCTGCCAGTTTGTTTAAGTAACTATTTCAATCTAAAGCAAAATACATAATTTACTAAAATTCATCTAAGTTAAAACATAATTATACTAAATGTCACACATTTGAATATGTGCCAGCAATAGCAAGATGGCCACAAGCTGGTTTTGGTGGGAGGTGGGGAAACAAGGGAATCCATAGAAAAGTTGGATGATTTTTGTATATCTGTATTGCTCTGGTTGGGTTATGACTTATGATGTATATAACGTATAATTTTTCTGTGGGATGTCATTTGTTAAATTACTACTTTTCCAGTGGTTGTGCAGTGTAATAGCACAGCTTATGGAATTTTTATTTCCTAAATTTGTCATTCTTATGTTGTTCAACTCAATAGCATACTTGGAAGAGATCCAGTCAGTGCGGCGCCATACAAACAGCACTGCAGATCCTAAGAACTCTAATCCTCCTGTGCTGGTGCATTGCAGTGCAGGTGTAGGACGAACAGGAGTGGTCATACTGTCAGAGATCATGATTGCCTGCTTGGAACACAATGAGGTGATCTCCTTTTTTTCCTCATGTTTTCAATAATGTTAGGTAGTGGAAGAGTAAATAATCTGCCTAATAAGTATTTTATGACTGTTCATCTGAGCTTTCCCAAGACGTGGTCTTTGGAAGAGCCCTTACAATTATGGTTGAAAGCGCTCTTGGCAATTTAACAGAAGTTAATAATCTTCTATGGTTGCCTACTTATACACTTGGAACGCTCAGTTAGGATGTTGAATCACTGAGTGGAACAAGGTATGCTCTGGGCTACTGAGCACGTTTCAGGATGTTGCCTTGGCTTTACCACTTCATGCCTTAGTTTTAATAGTTAATGTTCAAGAACATGTTTGTAGTCAGTCTCTTGTGCTTGTTATTAAATGTTTTTCTTCCTTAGTGTAATAGTACTTGCAGTACAAGTCTCAGTGGAGGACAAAGTGGTAGTTTAATAAAATAAAACTTAGTCCTATCAGCCTTTAGCTAGAAGTGAGCAGTTGTAAAGCAATTGGTAACATTATGTGCTGCCTGAAACTCAACAAATTGATTGTTCCATTTATTGTTTCCTTATCCTAACAGTGCGACAGACTTTTGCAGCTATTAGATTTGTGAGGACTCACATAGCACATGAGATAGGCAAATATATCACAGATGAGGAAGCTGAGGTAGGCATGGTCAGCAGTGTAATGACACTCATACTGTAGGTATGAGCTGAATTATCAGAGCTGAAATTAGAGCAGCTGATTCAGTCCCCATATCACCGGTACTGTCTTGAATCGTCTGCTGAGAAAGGACAAGTGAGTCTCCTTGCTTACCGGTTACTTGTAATCATTTGTTCTCTTCCTCCAGATGCTGGACATCCCACGAGTGCTGGACATGTTGAGGCAGCAGAGAATGATGATGGTGCAGACTCTTTCTCAGTACACTTTTGTCTATGGAGTTCTCATTCAATTTCTCAAAAGCTCAAGACTTATATAATCCCTCCCACTTCCTAAGGGACACTGCAAGAGTTTACAGAAAGAAAATTACAGTTGTCCAGGCAGACCTGCTCTCACTGTTTTTTTCTTTGTATGATGAATCACACAGTTACCTTTTAGGGCTGGTATGTGACTGTTAAATGCAAGTCAATGTAACAGTCCTTGCAAAGCAGGATCTTCGCTGGACTAAATTCTTCCCATGTTCAGCTGCAGCCATATTAGGGAATGATTTTACTTGTACTGGTCTGGAGTACTTGGAAACTTTTTTAGAGTGGTGTTACATTGGGCAAAATAAATATCTTACAGAATGGAAGTACATGGCACAATTGTACTAACTTTATTTTTTTTTTTAATGTAATTAACTGTGCAAAAGCTAAAATCTGTGGATGCACATGGGGAGAGAAACCTGCTCCTTGGGAATGTCAAGGTCTTACACAGTTTCATTCTGCTTTCAGTTTTATATTTAGAGCACCTGTATTTTTTAAAATGAACTTTTGGTTTCCTCTGGTTTACTTTGCAGAATTAGCAGTTCTTACATACTTTAAGTGGTTGCTTTAAGGGCAGTTATTTTTGTATTTTTTTTTAAACCAACTTTTTAAACAACATATTGTTTTCAGAGGAGAGGATTGACAATGCTTGAACTGAAAAATTGTGCGGAAAGTACTAGGGTAATAGGTAGTTGTAGAGTGCTGTGTAATAGAACTTCCAGGTGAACGATCAAGTTAACTGTTGAGAATTTCCATTTGAGTAGAAGCAAGTTTACCTATGGAATTGTAGGCAACAAGCAGGGGAAAAATACTATAATTATCTACAAATGTCCTGGAAGGAAATGGATGAGAGAAAGTACATATTCAGTATTATTCATATATTTAGAGGACAGTTTGATTTTACTGGCTGAAATCAAAGTGGATGCAAATGTTTTAAGCACTTTTTTTGCTCTGTTATTTATGTAGTTAAACATAGAAACTATAATCATGTATTGTTTCATATGGTAATATGCCATTACTAACCTGTTATTTTAGGAAGAGCCTTTAAAGTTCATGAAGTGAGAGAACCAAAATTGGAGTAAGAAGGTGCATAGTAGCGCAGTGGGAATGATCCTGTAACACATAATGGAGGAGGCGTGGCAGCTGTGATTGCTGGTTTGCACAGTGCAAAGATGACCATTCAAAATGTTCATGTTCCCAGTCAGGAGAGCCTTTAAAGCACTGGAAATTTCTGTAGAATCCTTCAGATTATTTTGTTAGTGCTAGAACAGGTTTTGCTAGTGGTGGGCAGTGTTGCAATGAAGAATGTTCACAGGAGCTGTTTGAGAATGCCTGCAGAATGTAAGAACTCTTTGAGGTAACACTGGAGATGTGGGTATTTTGGTAACTGTACAGCTGGCAGTTAGTGCTTGTGGTGTGGATCTGAAGATGTCCTGCCTCTGCTAGTTATATTGTCCCTGACTGTAGTGCGGGTCTGGTCTAATGACAGTATCCCTGAATACTCATTTGTCTGTGTTTTTAAAACAGGGACAGTGTGGTTTTAACCTGCCTTTTCAAGTGTTTTGAGATGCTGAGTTGAAAATCCCTATACAAAAGTGAGCTATTTGTTCTTAGATATCTGGTACAATTCCAAAAAAACTTGTAGCAGACCAGTCTGCAGGTGTGTTTAAATATTTATTTCTCATGATACCTGCTTAACGAAATGAAATGAGACTGATAGTGATTTTTTTCACTGGTGAAATGATGTTATTTTTCTCTGACCTGCCTCAAGGGTTTGGAAACTATTATGAATAATTACCCCACCACACCCCCCTCTTCAAAACAATGATTGTCCTCTCAAAGCAATAATTAAAATAGTCATAAATAGGTTGCCTCAATTTCCTTTGTAATAAGCTACTTGTATATAAATAAGCGCAAGGTTAAATGACTTTGTGCTAATATGTTGTTCTATAGAAATGTGCTGGTTTAAAATACACCGTAGCATTCAGCTAGTGCATTTGGTCGTCTTTTGGACAGTCCAAATTGTTCTACTTTCAGTAGCAGTAAGATTGAATATTTTAGATGGGGGAAAATATTCTTTCTGTAACTATGAAGTGCCTAGCAAGTATTAACTACCAGATGTAAAACTGGAAGGAACACTGCCTTATTCCAGAGGACACCAGCTACTGAAGACTGATTCTTATATATAGTCTTGCAAGCAAACCAATTTGATGCATCTGTGTTAAGTATCAGTGAAAGAAACAAAGATGTTTGTATTGTGCCCTGTGTTTAAAAACAGTTTGCTTTTTTTTATCTTTTCTTTTTTACCACAGTTCACCTAAGTCTTCAGAAATATTTGTGAGTGGAAAGGTACACTCTAGAATGTAGCTGGTACCATTTCTGAAGTTTGAACTGTGATCATAACACGATACCTGCAGCTTTCTATGAAATTATATATGGCCACAACTTCAAGCGACACTTTTTATCAATTCGGAAGTTACATCAGATATAAAGCATTAAAAAGAGCAATCAAAATAAGCAATTTAATTCCAAACTTCTGTGGTGGCTTCTGAGGTGGGTGAGGGAGTAAGTCTTTTCTTTTGGTTACCTTTTTTGTCTTGCTGAGAGGAACTGAGTTCTCTTTTAGAGGTGGTGAACCTCTAAAGAGGTAATTAGAGACAACCTCTAGGTGCTCTCTAATCTGGTAGTCAGTCTTGATATTTTTAAGCAATAACACTGCTACCTCCTCCACTTCAGCTTTCAGATCTTTCCATCAGCAGTGCTTTTCTGCATCAATAGATTTGACTTTGTGTGAATTTTCCTACTGAAGATAGCAGGATTGTTTTTATATATAAGCATATGTCTCCAAGTGAGCTTTAAAAATGAGCAGTTTTTCTTCTGAAGACACCAAAAGAAATGAAACTCCACAACCTCCTGTAACAAAATTAATTTAAAAGCATTGTTTAGATTCTCAGATAACTTCTAAAAGAACATTCAGTTTTTAGCTGTTCTGAGCCTTGAAAGGGATGCTTTTTACACCTAGTTGCGCTGGATACATTGTAAAGTGTTGGACTTTCTAAGAAAATTCATTGCCCAAACCTAGTCACAGCCTGAACTGCATGTGGATCTGTCTGTCAGAAGCTTAAAATTCCCCTATACGCCTATCCATTTTGCCAAACGTGCTTCTGTTTGGATGGGTAAGAAACCAGATAATTATCACGTGAGATTTGACTTTTTTTAGTGGAAAAGTTGCGTGAAGCTATTCCTGAGGTACATGATGAAGAGCAAGATGTAGGTCTCTAGGAAAGCCAAAGTTCTCAGGGATAAATACAGGTGCTATAGTACTGCCAGGAGACGGAGTTGACTGTCTTGTGTGCTAGGTGGAAAATGCTTTTTAGAATCAAATTCTATGAAGAGTCAAGAGAAGAAGCTATGAATTGTAGTAAGGGCTTCTGACATTTGATTTCTGCCTTGTTTGCAATGAGGAGAGATTGTTTGGCCAATGAATCTTTGTATTCTTGGGCTCGCAGCTCTTCTCTAAAAACAAAATTCAAAGCCCTGTTGATTGCGAAGGTGACGCTGACTTAGCAGGCTTTGCTGTAGGCTGCGAAGCACGTCTCACTCGTCCTGTGACAGAATTGGAGCAGCATGTTGGAGTTCTGCATAGTGTTGCTGCAGCCTGCAGAACAGTGCTGTCCTTTTTCTGCTGCACGTAGGAATGTGGTCTCCATGAGCAGCACAACTTTTATGCCTTAGCATTACTCTCATTGTGCACAACTGAATGGTGAAAACTACAACTGCAGGCCACTATGGTTTAGATTTATAAATGTAACTAAAAGCAGGTGAGCAAGGCAGAATTCCTGTAGCTTCTGTGGATGATGAAAAGTTGCTCTAAATTATCATGAATGTTTATATATATAAGTAAATTAATAATAAATAAGAGTAAAATGAGTGTTAAAATGGAAAAATTCTTGGCATTTTGAGGAAGTATGTATTTTTTGGCTCGTCTTGTAATCTTGTGCATCTTTTTATCTTTTTTTTTTTTTTTTTTTTTTAAGTGGATGACATTTGGAGCAGTTTTCTCCAAAAATAGCTTCTTAAATCCAATAACTAAGGCTACCAGAGGCTGCTGGTACATTTTTCTTGTTGGAGCAGCTGTTAAAGTTGAGTGGCTCATAGATTTCGATGGCCTTTGGACCAAACTCGGGAACTGCAGGGTTGTTTATCATACAAGTTAGCTGTGTAATGGGACCTCAGTTTTAATACCAGTAGCGTTACTAAAACCCTGGAATTAAAATAGTGAACTCATTACTATACTGCAATAGTTAGCTCAAATTACTAATTTAAAAGGAACAACGGTTCAATTGCTAATAATTCCATGCTTTAGGTAGTTGGTTTTTTTCCCAATATTTAAAACTCATGCAAAGACAGAGCTCAGTCCTGCAAGACACAAAATTCCCTCAGTTCTTCCTGATACTGTGGGAATTAAAAAATGCTTATTGCCAGTGAAAGTTTGAGCCTTTAAAGCATGAATATTCACATGTCTACTTTAAATTTAAATACAGATTACAAGAATTAACCAAAAGAATGCAGCAGGAATGTGCATACATGAAACTAGAGCATTAAAAGGAAAAGTAGCTAAGATAGCTTGGAAGAAATTCTCTTTTGAAAGTACAAAATGTTGGAACCAGAGAGCATGGATCTGAGGAATGACTGAAGGCATTTGGAGGAGGATTTGGAACATGTTGTATCCACAGCAGAACTGCTAGAAGGGTTTGATTCATATGGTATGTTTTTCATGGCATAGTAGGGTAAGTGAGCATGTAGTCATAGGTGTTATTTTTACAGGCTTTTTAAAATGTGATTTTTGAAACTCCAAATATTTTTTCAGAAGCTGTGTTATTTTTAAACATATTCTTTTCCAAATGGATGCAATGCAATCTGTCAGCTCAGTTTCTGTTTACTCATTAAAGGTCAGATTTTCGAACTGTGGTCTCTGGTTTTCCATGTGCAAACTGCAGGGCGAATAAGCATACATGCAAATTTGCACCAATAACTTCTAATGGATGCAGGTTAGACTGTTTGGAAGCTTAAGTAATTTTGTGAATGCAGCTAGGTGTTTACTGCAGGTGTGAATTACACCAGGTTAAGGTTGGGTTGAGAATCAGATCCTTGAAATGTGGAATTTTAACATGTGCTTACAAATATGTTGCAGTGCAGCGTTTGCCATACACTGATATGAAAACTTCAGAGAATCTCTAATACTGTGCTAGGATATGGGAAAATATCTTAAACTTTCAACAGCTTTTGCAAATATTTCTGTAAAAAAGATTTCTTATTAAGATCCTATTGGGGACCAGCTAACTTGGTGTGTTTTGCTGGCATCACATACGTTACCTTAAGGTCTACAAGGACTGTAAAAAAAAAAATAAATCTTAATTTCTATGAGCATTTCAAAAAACAGTTGCTAAATGACCTTTGATTCTGTTCTTTGCTGTTTTCCACATGATGCTGCATTTAGTGGTAAAGAATAACCTCCAGTGTATTTGCTCTTTAGAAGTCCATTCTTCAGCTCTAACTGGGGAACGAAGGCAGAAATAAAGTGCAAAGATTTAACAGAGTTTACAACAGATCCAGCGTGTGGCAAGTTAGAGAGCAAGTCTGTAGACACCGTAATGTTGTTTTGTTTCAGATAGGTGGCAATCAATACTACCAAATTGTTACTTTTACAAGCACAGTTTCAGAAGGCGCCTCACCTTTAAAAAGGGAATTTAAATGCTGTTTTTCCATATGGAAATATTTAAGAAAAAAAAATAGGGGATTTTGAAGTATTTAAAGACTTCGCAAACACTGTTCATTTTTAAAATGATAGGAAACTTGATAGGAAAATAACATGTAAAATCCTCCAGTCTGTCACATTGCTAATCCTGAATAATTCTGGCAGACAAGGTGTACATGCTGTCTCTTTGCAAAGATACTTCCTGAAGTTGCTTTGAAATACCCCAGATCCCTGTGTCCTCTTTATGGATGATCTGGGGAGAGACTTAGGTGGAAATTTTAGGAACTTGAACTTGCAGATCAGTATGTACACTCCTGCACATTGCTGAAATCTCTTCTTTCGCCTAAAGCAAGTTGTGTTTGAAGTCCTTTCAGCAGCTGTGTAGGACTGAGTCCTTGCTGTCAGAGCAATACAGGATCTGGCTCTGTTTTCTTCCATTTTTGTTTGAGTCAATATGCAAGGATTTAAATGGAACTTTATTTAAAAGTAACAACATGAATTTTCAAGTATTATTTTCTAGTACTAAGCTAGTGGTTAACACATCTATTTTTGCTGTCTTGCCACCAATACTGTAAAAATGTATAATCAAAACAGCTTTAATTCTTGTAAAACTGAAATTGGTTTGTAAAACAATGTACAAATTGTGTTTCATAGACAGAAAAGCTTGTATTACTGAATGTAATATATGTGAAATGAATATATAATAGTCTATTTTTGCCATGAAAATAAATATTTGAAGCAACTATGAGTTTTTATTGTTCCATTATTAAAAGAAAAATCAGTGAACTTTAATATTATGTGCAGCCTTAGCCTGGGACTTCACCTTCCATGCACAAAGACGTCATCCCTCTGTCAAAGCTTTGCAAGTGCTGTCCTGTGTTTTAATACGAAGATAAAACTTACACTGTCAGATACTAATGGTTCTCATCTTTACAGCAGGAAAGTTTTGTGACTGACACCCTATCATCGTTTTAGATATTTTTGCATTTTCAGGGACTTTTTTAGTACTAAACATTAATTTCTATTTTACCTTTAAGCAGAGGAAGGATAAAAATGTTTCGGAAGTTGAAAAACTCATTCTAAAAGTAGGTGAGAAAAGAAATAATCTACTGCATGCTAAGTATCATTGGAGCTGTTAACAATACTTAATAGTGAAGTTTTCTTCATTTTGTTATTGGTATTTAGTCAAAAAGGGAGGTGATACAAAAGGCACAAGATGATGGGTGAATTGTATACTGGACGCTGCAATTGCACACTGGACAATTGTATACCCATTGTCTTTGCTAAACTTCAAATACGCTGCCTACTTACCTATTTCAGGAACTACTAGTATGTTAATAAAACTTTGTCTTCCAGGCATGCTTACTAAAGGTAAGATAATAACTTACCAACCATCTGTGTACTTGTCTGATCAATTCCCAAGTCCTGGGGAATGTCCTGTGCAATGTTCAGCATGTGCAAAATGCTCTTATTTGGCATGAATTCAAAATCAAGAGGAAAGTGTGACTTCTCAGGGTCCTAGGCATATGGTAAAAACACTCAGCCATTCTGATCAAAGCTATTATTTGTACTGGTTTTGGACATGACGGAAAGGTCTCTTAGAAACCAAAATTTACCCTAAAATTAATCTAACCTTTTGGGCTGCAGCTGTTATTTTCCAGCCACTGTAAAATTGCCAGTGGAGCCTCGTGGTGGCCAGAGCTGGCTGATAGCAATTCTGGGGTCTGGCACAAGCAGCTGGCATGTTTCTTGGGTGGGAGCTCGAGGACTTGGTACAAGAGGAACTACAGGGAGTAATAGGAGAAGTTCCTCAACCAGGTGAGACTCAGGAGAGCTGAAGTAGCTCTCATTCTGCTGTTAGGGCTGTTTAAATGTAGCATGGCTGTAGATAGGTGCAGTTTGTGTGAAACTCAGCAGTGCTAGGTACTAGCTGGAAGTTTTGTGTGTGACAGGATATGGCTTTGGTTTGTTTTTTAAACGCATTCATTTTCCCTGAGTTGTCAATGACAACATATAAATTTGTGTTTTCTCTCTTCCAATATTGCCACGATCATCCCCAGAAGGTTGGATTCTTCATGAAGACAGAAGCTGTACAGCACCACAAAGCTGTTGCCAGTTTACCTCCAGCAGCCAGGGAACTGCTGGCAGAGGTTCACAATTCACAAGTATGATGTTACTGACGCAGGTACCAAAGGGGAAGCTGTTGCAGGAGAGTTGGAAGTGAGTGAGACCTGGATGAAGGATGGATGTTCATCAGCTCTGAATGAAGCAGGTACCCTGTGTTGCTGTAATTTCTCTTGGCTCTTGGGCAAGGTGAACCTTCTGTGGTCAGCACTTGCATGTACATGATGGCAGTGCTGTGGTTTCAGGGGAACGTAGTGCTTAGGGAAATGCTTGTTGTGATATTGAAAGGCTAGTTCTGTCACTACTGCAATTGCTTTGAAGTAGCCTTGTTAATTCAAAGAAAAACCAAGAGTAAGTAGGAAATAGGTGGCCCTGGGACTATTTTATCACAAAACCCCTTTTGCTTTTACAGCCTCATAGCAGTGATCTGAAGATCTGTGTGACAGTCCTGCAGACAGATATCTACGTTTTAGCCAAACAGCCATCCCCAACATACCAACCAATACTGCCTTGCTTTGTCTGTGGATTTTAGATATCTGCTGTAATAAATGAAATAACCAGAAAAGATTTGGAGGGCTTGCAGATGAGGTTTCTTAATTTAAGATTGTTAGTTCAGTTTATTAATATTATTATTATTAGCCATTTCTAAAATGACAATCATGTGCCTTACGTAAATTTAGAAGGACATCAAATCCTTCCAGGAACAGACCTGGAATTATCATACCCAGAGGCAGATGAAGAATTTTCACTGGTGTTAAGTACCTATGAAGAAAGCCCCTGTCAAGCCTGGTTAATGCTGATAATCAGTGATTTGAGGGAACTGCATACTTCAGTGTGTGCATATGTGTATCTGATGTTTTCTGCCTACATACCATGCTATTCATGACTGACTGAAGCTGAAAATGTCTTTCCATTGTCAAAACCTTTAGCAAAAAACTTCAGGAAGGTTGAAGACAGTTTGTTTTTTGTTTGATAATGTTTAAGATATTATTATAACAGATTTATCAGGATTTATCTGAGTTTCCTGCACCATAACAATATAAAAATAATTTCATTTGCTCTCAGCTGACCATCTCTGAGTCTTTGTAAGTAGCTGGTGCTAACCCTGTATTTCAAAAATATGGGTTGTCTCTGGAAAGCCGGGAGTTGTAGGTCTCCATCACTTTACGTTCAATCAGTCACCAAATATTCACTTCTCTCCCTGAATTTTGGGAGGCAATTTAATTTGAAACTATAAATCTTAGGGAATTGTACTGCTTCAATTTTCCTGTTTAAGGAAGACCCGTCCTTTCACTGACATACTATAAATACAAGGTTATTTTTATTTCCTTATTTGAGTAGTCCTGAAAGCTCTCTTGAAGAGGTAGGCCAGCTACAATAATCAGCAAATTTGAGTATTATTTCTTTGGGGATTACTTCTGTCTTGAAAAGGAGAAGTAGCAGCGCCCTGACCAAAATGAGATGTCTGTTTTCTTCTTCATAAGGAGAAGGGAAACACTGCATTAGCAGCCAAAATCAAAATGTAATTAGGAAAGAGGAAGAAAACAGTTGTTCATCAAATATAGAAACAAACTTAGATGGTTGATGAAGTATTTGCCTTCTTCCCAAGTTGCTCTTCAGCTTTAAAGGACAGAAGGAGCTGGTGCACAGCCACCCTAAACAGAAGAGCTATAGGAGGGCAAGCAGCAGGTATGAGGGGGTAGCTCTGGTGCACTGCTAAGAAGCCATCTGCCCAAGATGAGGAGCATTGCTGACTGTGCTCTCCCTGCACTGGGAGCAAAATTTATCCTTAGTGCCCTGGTGTTAGGAGGGCTGCCAAGGTGATTTTAGCACTTTCAGTGCATTTATGCCATCAAGCTGGAAGTAAGGTGCTCCGTTTGAGCGTGTTTTCAGGACAAAAGGTCAGCCTTATCCCTCTGCATGACGCTGGTCATGCAGAATAATGTCAAATAAGCAGAACTGAGGCTAATTTACATTGTTGAAGGAAACTGGAAATACTGCACCAATATTACCAGGTGAATTGCCTCGATCCCTGTGAAGGTGACTTTGACTGTGAGATAGCCTGGTCTGCTTCTGACCTGTCCCATAGCTTTGTGACTGGAGCATGGTGTCTGGGGGTGCTTCATTGTGGCAGGGGCTGGTCTCCTACCTGTCTGATGCTTCTTTGGGTAAAGGCTCTGACCACAGGGAGCTGGACATGAAGGGGATGTGCCCAAGAACCCTTTGGGGAGATCTGATTGTGCTATGAAGTGAACAAAACAGGCTTAAAATATTGAAGAGTTGTGAAGAATATGCATACCATAGAAAGTCACAGTGGGGACCCTCAGAAGGCTACATGTGAGTTGAAAGCCCTTGTGCAAGGCTGGGAGATTCTGAAGTTGGGAGGGGAGGACACACCATCCACATTTGTTTCTGAGGAAAGGAAAGCAGATCAGAGCTTGAGGAGCTCTGCAATCTTTCTTTTACAATTCTTGCCTGAGATGGTTGTGTCCAGCGCTTGGGAAGCCCCATAGTCAGCTCCCAAACCTAAGCTGCCTGCGTCGTCTCTGGTCTTGCTTGTGCAAAACATCAGGAAAATGCAGGGTGCCAAATGCCTCCAAGCTGAATTTCTGGTTGTAGAGGCTACTCCTTGGAGGTCCTGTGAGGAATTCCTAGGCTGACAGGAGAGCTGATGGCCTTTGACACATTGCTTAGTTTCTTGTTTGGCATGCGAACATTCTCATGAGAGAAACAGATAGCTGGGAAGAGTTGGGGGTCACCTCATAGTTCTGTTATTCATCTCCTGGAATTGGCTGCTGCCTGCTGCGAGATGTAAGGTATGCTGCAGCCCTCGCACAGATACTGTAAGGGGAGTCCTACAGGCTCGCCGAATTCTTGGGATAACTGCGAAGAGCTCTGCACCTCGTGCTACAGATCACGCTGCCTGTCCCCTGTGAGAATGGGGCAGCATAGCTCTGCGGCCTGCCAGGCCGAGGTGGTGTGTGAGTTTCTCAAGTTTCAGATGCCTCCCTGCTCCATTTATGTAGCCTTTACTTGCCCTTCTCAAGGTCTAATTTCATGCCACCAGTGCAATAGGACTGGAAGGACCGTGCGGGAGGCCGTGTGTACTACAGCCTGCATCACAAACAACTGCACGAAGTAACCCGTGCTCATTCCCAGCGGGGCTGTGTGTCCTGTCTCTCCAGGATCCCTCAGCTTTTGCAGGCCAGTCTAACAGGCTAAAAGATGAGATGAGAACAACTGAAACTTGTGTGTGTGTTCGCCTTGGTGTCCCACACACCTCCTGCCCTTTGCTCTCTGCCAAAATTAGTGAGGTGGGTGGGTTAAAGAGAGGAGTTCTTTTATGAGGCATGAAGAGAGAGCCCAGCCACTTTGGAAGCTTTCTACAGAGAACAATCCTGTGCCCAGTGGACATGGCATTCTTAATTTTAGTTCCCTTCACTTGAATTAACTTATCTTGTTGCTGCTCATGGGCTGCCTGACATCCTGAAGTCCTCATAGGTTTGCATCCAGGTGGCCGAGGTGGAGATGAGCTACAACCCCTCTGTGGCTTGAGTGATGAATTGCCATGGAAGTGAGAGCTGCTGCTGCTGCTTTCCCTTCCTGATGCATTCTCCCCAGGACATGTTCAGCTTCCGCTGGCCCAGGACCCACTTACAAGCTTTGAAACTGGATCCCCTGACTGGTTGTGACCCATGCAGAGTGCAAGGGCTGCTGCTGCAGTGGATTAATTTACCACTCACCTGTTTGCATATCAATTGCTTTGCTGCTTGGAATGGAAACTGTGGATTGTTTCTGAATGAAGCAGGTTTCACTATTGACAAAGAAAACAGGAAGGTTAGACTGCCAGTGAGTATTTAGCACGGTTGTTTTGGAGTGAGAAATTGTTATTTAAATCACTGGTTGCTGTTCTGTACCTCGTGATCTGCATCAATACCAGGTGGCAGCTCCTGACAGCAGGCCTGTCCATAGGAGGAGCAGGTTAAGTGCTGGGGAAGGGCCAGGAAGCACGGTTTGGCTCTAGAGCCAGCGTGTAACTGCAGTGCTTGCTTATCAGCAGACACTCCTGCCTTTGATGGTCGGAAACTAAAGGGGGACGCCAGCTTCCCATAGCCAGATGCTTCCTGAAGTACATCCCGGGTTGCAGTCGTGTGTTTGTTCCCTTTATTCATTATATTGTTTAGGTACTCAAATGCTTTTGCTGCAGCGGACAAATGCAACAATACAGAGGAGGAAAAATTGTGGTAGCTCTAAAATGTGTTTGAGTGGCCAGTGTTAGTGAGTTCTCCAACTTCGTACATTTCATCCACTTCTACCTGATCGTAGTTCTTACTAATTTCATTAAAGATGGTTTAACTAAAGCTTCATTTCCATTTGGGTGTTGCTTGCAGGTTTTTTTTTTTTGTTGTTTTGTAGAAAACACTAAGACATCTAAGCACCTTTTTTTTTTTCATCAATCTTTATTTCAGATGACAAAAGCCCTGCTTTGCTTTGTAAATACGCAGAATCCTACCTTTGAAAACAAGCACACTGATGACAAAACTGTGGGCTTTACAGATAAGAGACTATTGTGTGAAAGAGTAGAGTAATAATAGTGAGCTTTTGGTCATCAGAAGAAAACTTTGATGTTATGCAGGTGTTTATCACCCACATATGTCTGGGCAGAACTAAGTAGATCACAGCCACTGACTGCTACTAACAGACTGTAGTGGTGGTGCCGCTGCCTTGTTCTGCTAGGGCTTGTGCCAAGACCTGAGTGTAGCATCAAGTGAAAGGAAACTCAAGTTGATGAGACTAAAACAACAAAAAGAAAAGTTTCCCCCAGCCCCCAACTGTTTTTTTAACTAACCCAAAATCTCAGAGAGAAAACAAAGCTCGCATTGTTGATTAATCTTACTGATGTGGGTCTGGCTTGCGTATCAAATTGCTTAAACAGCTTATGTTTGAAGCACCACCTAAAGTAAATGTGTATAAAAAGAAAGTTTTAAGCCCTGGATAGCCTGATTTACTTCTGGCTCTATGGGCTAGATAAGCTAATTGATTCTGTATTGATAACACTTATCTAGAATGTTTTTCCCCGCTATCTGGTGGGAGCGGCTGTACAACCACAAACCCTGTCCCTTCCTGGGCTGACTGCGCCAGCTGCCAGGGCGTCGGGTGTGTGACCTTGGGGCTCTTTGTGGGTCTCCACATGGTATCTGAGACATGTCCATCCTTATGGTTGGTGCACACAGATGCTTTCTTCGTAAAAGTTCAGTTTTAATGAATTTATTTACTCTTTTACCTACCACCTACCCAGATAAAACATCACTGGCATTCAGACAGACAGCTCATCACAGGAAAACGTGGTCAAGGAACTGTTTTTATATTCGTGTTACTCATACTCCAGGAAATAACTGTGTCCTTATTTGCGCCTTTTTGTATGTTGAAGTCATCAGCACTTTCACTGCTGTGTTGTTTGTTTTTTAATTTTGACTTCTAATGTGAAAATCTTATTAATCTTTAATCAGACTTATGTTGACCACAAGCCAAAGTTTGCTGAGTGATAGGAAAAAAATTAATTCCATTATTGAGCAATGCTAAGAATGGAGGGCCCAAGGAGCCAGTGAAGTCATGGCAGAGGAGCAAAGAGGCTTTATATTTGGAGATGTCTAACTGCACTCTTTAGTTCTGTAGTTGTTTGTATATACAGCTGCCAGACCTAGCCAGTCACCCTGTGTTATTTTTTTTTCTCTCCAGTACAAACAGCAGTTCCCTACCTGCATCCCCCCTTCGGTTCTGTGGGGCAAGATGACAGGAGCTGCCCTGGGGATAGCAGAAGGGTTTCAGTCACTTATGATGAGGGAGAAACCCTCCCTGCACTATACTTAGTCAGTCCTCTGGCTGCGAGTATTTTCAACGAGACAAGTGATGGACGGATGCAAAATCCTCACATTATTTTTCCCACTTTTCAGGGAGCTGGGGCACTCAAGCTGCAGGCCAGATTTACAAGATAGCCAGCTGAGCGCGGCAGATGAAAGGCTAGTGCCCATCTGCTCAGCCACAAGTACATGGCTGAACTAAAACACACTCTGCTGTCATCGTCAACAACTGTAATTTATTATCATGGCCAAGACAGCCAGGAAAGTGTATTTTCCTTTTTTTAAATCATGCACTATACTGCAATGCTGGTGCCAGTGGCAGAAGTGTTGCTTTTGTTTAATAGGCTTTTGTTGAAGGTTCTTAGGAGTTGGTTTTTTTTTCCTCAAAAGTTTGTGCTTCAAACGTAAATCAGTGTTTTATGATTACTGGAGCTACTTAACGGTGTGCTGCTGCACACAGCAATCAGTGACTTAGATTACTCGTCTTTTTGAGACCCTCTTGAGTCACAAGAGAGGCAGGTGGTAACAGCTGTATGTACAAGTGGATGAACTCTAACCATTTGGGTCTCTCCTTGGAAGAGCAGATTAAGACCACGATTAAGACATACTTGGGGAGAGGCTTTATCCAGTTCCTAAGGCTTCTTACAGTTCCTGAAATGCAGCAAGACAGTTTATTTCCTGGCCCCTCCTCAGGACTTACTGAGCTCATTCTGCAGTAATGTGAGTGCCAGGTAATAACTGCACTCTGGTTAGACAAAGAACTCTCAGCTAATGTTGTGCAATGCATGTGTTAATTTCAATTTTCCTCCGTTTGCTGTACAAGATGCCTGATAGGTCTCTTCTACTAGATAATCCTAGCTGTCAAAGTCCAACTCCATCTTTTTTCAAAAGCTCACTGCAGAATGCTATGCCAAGGTTGCCATCAATGCACAAAATTTAACTGTGCATTTTAGTTCTCTGCAGTGTCACAATCGTTAAGTCTTCATTTTCGAGAAATAAGAGCTGAATCAGGGATGAGGATTAAGTAGCTCAAGAGCTGTGTGTAACACAAACAAGCAAGCTGCATATTAAATGGCTTAAGAGCTGCCATATGCAGTAGCTAGAGATAAATGTCCTTTTCTGGCAGGAAATCTGACGGGGTTAAGCAAACAATACTGCAAAGTGGTTTTTTTTTACATGCTGGTTAGTACAAGAAATAAGGCAATTTGGCTCATAGTGACGAAAGAAGAAGGAATCATCATCCAGCAGCATCGGAAAGAAATCCTTGTTCGGGACACTGCCTACTCACACTCATGCCTTATTTCATCCCAGGTAATACAAGGAAATAGCATGTTTCTAATGTTCTACAGGTATTGTAAAAGGAAAAAAAAAGTATAAGAATTTCATGTTCCAGTGGGATTTTCATTAAACAATGGGCTGAGCACTAAGAGAAGAAAAATGCTGCCTTCTTCCAGCATGGACTAACAGTTCTCTCTCTGCCCCGCAGGTACGTAGTATGCCATTTTTTGACGTGGGTAAATTGAATTCTTGCAAACTGCAAAAATTTTGGATCCTTATAGAATGGACCACATTTGCAATAGAACTATCATCAGTTAATTTATTTGTTATAAATAAAAACAATAAATATTTCATAACTTACTCTTACAGCTTTCTAAAAATATACATCTTATCTCAACATTCTCAAAAGTTAGTTATGGGTTGTACAATTATAGGCAAAATATACAAAGTTTTTGTAGCTGACACTTTTTACCCTTTACAGTCTACATTAGTACAGAGACTAATGCTCATTAATTAGTAACTGATACTCTGCTAGAGAGACTTTATCTGTGTTTTAACAGAAATACTGAAGATAACCAATTTACTCTAACAAATGGCAGTTCTCTACAAAACTAGCTTTATTCCTATTTAACAGCTAAATTTTGGCTACTGTTATGAGTAGTCACGTGAGATCTGAAGGACCTCTGCAAAGTTTTCCTCAAGATCATCAAGTACCTTGGTGGCTTCCAAATCACTGTCACAAGTCAAGTTTAAAGTTGCCTCACATGAAGGTGAAGTGTCTGGGTCTTCAGATTTCACATAAGAGTGAGACTCTGCCTCAGTGTTCTTCATTTCAGCAACATCTTCTGAGAAGTCATCTTTACTCTGTGTCTCCTTTGAGTTTTCACTGCAAACTGGTGATTCACATGTGCTTGGTTCCTTTAATAATAAATCCATGGTCGTAAGGAATTCTTCACTTTTTGTAGCTTTCTTTTGCCTCTGACTTTTTCTAGTCAACTCAGGCTCTTCCGCCATATTAAACTCTTCCAGGTCCAGTGAGTCCACAGCTTCCCAGTCCGTGTGGCTTTCCTCAGTGCTGCAACTGAGGTCTGCTTTAAGCACATCCAACAGGTGCCGCATCTTGTTCTAGGGTGTGAAGGAACAAGGGGTGACTCCTCTCCATCTGCCCAGAACTCAGGGCTCCATTCTAACGTAAAGAGATGGAAGCTGCTTGCAAATGGTTATACAGCAACAGGCACTAAATGGGGTTGACTGTTGTCAGTGTTTTGTGACTGTGCCTGACTCATGGGTCATGGTAGATCAGGAGTCTGCAAATCTCTCATTGATAGAGAAAGATGCTCCCCACTGAGCATTCTGGATACATGTACCAGCAGCTTTCCTTTGTGCTTTGTAAGCATCACTAAAGTCACATACGGAAAGTGAGAATGTTACAGAGGCAGTACCTACCTCATCCAAGCGGCTCTTGTTTTCTTCTATATAACACTCAAACAATTGTTCCAGAACTCTACAAATAAAAATTAAACCGCTTAACAGGAAAGAAAGCATCATTTTAGAAGTCTATATGAACTAATGACCCTAGTTCTTGATTTTCACTTCTTAACTGAGTGGAACCATTAAGATTGTTTCAATTATGCTCTGCCACAGAGGGCTACCTGGAGCCTTTGGACAGCAGACACTAACCATGGGGCAACTGGTAGCACAGCTCTGGGTAGTTTTGCTCTGTTGAAACTACACAGTGGGAGAAACCAATAGTCCAGTGGAGGTTCTGCTGTCATGCTGAAGCACCCACAGTGGCTGATAGAAATGTAAGTAAAGGGAAGGAATAAAATCCAGATTCAGAAAAAATCCAGAGACAAGTCCTCAGCCCTGAGAACCTTCTTCCATTGCTTACGAAATGGTGACAGGATAAGAGAAAATTTCAACAAGGAGGAAGTGTCCTGTGGCAACTAAGGTACACAGTCACAGGAACAGATTTCTAGAAGGTCAGGTGAATTTAATCTAGCTTACATTAGAAATTATTTATAAAAAAAAAAAAAGGAATAAGTGTAAAAATAATTTCAAGATAAGACATTACTGTAAAAAGAAAACCAGAGGGAGGCTGCTCTTGTAATTTCTCAGAATTTGATAGAGGCTTCTTTATCAGAACCAACAGGTTAAGTAAAGAATTTGTGACTACTACTCAAATCCACAAATTGTATAACACCTTGCTGTTTAATTATTTAAAAAAAAAATCATCATTTAGTAACTGGTGAACCCTTGTCTGGAACAGTATGTAATCCTTACAACCCATGTTGAAGGTTGGATTCATACTGGTACAGGAACAAGGACAGAAGGGAATGGAGGATATATTGCTGTGAAAGATTAGTAATGGAGTTTATTTTACATCTTGCAGAGTAAAATGATTTTGTCTTAGCATTATTATACATAGGCTTTCAGGTTAGTTTCTAACAGAGTCTGCATTTTATGGTACATCACAGCAGACTGAAGGAGATAACCCACAGAATTTTCCCAGTCCTTTTTTAACAAAGCAAAAAAGAAAAGGAAATAAAGCAAGAGCAAAGGGTAACTGGGTATTTATATATTCTTAAAGGCAACTCAATGATTACTAAAAACTACTTCCCTTTCTTACAGAGTTTCACATATTTCTGACATAAACTTGAAAACAACCATAACCTACCTGTTAGAAAACAGTCCAAGGTTAAGAATTTCATTTGTTACATCTTCAATGAAAGTTAAATATAAAAGGTCATCTTCTCTGGAGGAAGAACAGAAAAAACAATGTTAAATGTTTAAATATACAGACACCTATCAGACAATGCAGTACGTATGATTACCTTTATAGGCAATATTATTAAGAACATCATATAGATCTTAGCACCAACAGTCATTTTTCAAAAAGATCATTCTACCCAGACAAACTTAGCCCTTCATTTACTTTTAAAAATAATTTAAACAGAAACATGTACAATGTCACAATACTGGAAAGATCACTGCGGTGTTTCACGTTTCTGTTATCTTCCTGTTGTGGTATAAACTAGTAATGGGAGCTTCAGTGAGGAAACAGCCAAATCTTGGAAAGTATTTACAACCTGCTTTGCACTCAAGAAGAAAGGCACACAAACGAGGAAGAAAGTGTAATATGGCAGCCTGGTGATCTAAGTAAAAGGTTTCCAAAGGAGCTTCTAGAGAATCTAACTGCAACTTAAAACGTCTAGTACTCAGTGGGAGCTCAGAAAAATAGGTGCTTATTGACAGCCTCCAGTCCTTTTAAACAACAATTCTTTGATGTTCCAAATCCTCATTAGAGGTGGCTTTCACCACTGTGATTGTATTTCTTTTTTTTTTTTTTTTTTTTAAATCAACCAATCTGAACGGGACACTCTTCAAAACTTTTAAGTTCTGTTTAGAAAACAATCCACTCCCTTTTCCTCCCCCTCAGAAAAAAAAAAGGAAAATAAAAGATTTCAATATTGTTTCTCTTTCATAGCATCTTTCTAAATATCCCGACATATCTGTCCAAACAAGGTCTACAGAATCATTCTTAATAAACAGAACCAGACTTAATAAACAGAAAATATAAAAATGGGATACATGATTAGGCAAAAGCTGTCATCTAATCTGAAGATTGTAATTTTGGTCCCTTCTATAGTCAAAGAAGAAATGTAACTATAGATGACCTGTAATACATCCTTAAAGATAGGCAAGAACAAGCCTATATAAAGCATAAAGAAATTAAACACCTTTCCCAAGGTCACAGGGACAAAGCATTGGCAGTTTCTGAATACAACTCAAACCTCTTCAAATTGTCATCAAGTTTCAGAGCAGAAATTTAGTTAGAATGCCCCTCAACTTGACTTTTTATCTTACTAACATCTGCTTCAGACAGCTTTTAGTCCAAAAAAGAACTGGAAACATTTACAGTGTAGCCACTTGATAATAACAGTCTAGATCTTTCATTAACTATTTTATAGCAATTCATATCCACATCAGTGTTACTGTAGATTGCGAACAACAGCTTATTCAGAGTGCTTATTTGCTCTTTCAAGTTCAACGGTTTTGAGGAAGGGTTTCTAGTTCATTGTTGCAAACTAGCAGGAGAATGGTGCAAGTATACTTACTCAGCCTCGATATTTGTCCTTGCTGATGACTGCTCAGAATACAGCAATGTCTCTCTAATCAGAAAAACAAAGGATAAGAAATAGCAGAAAGCAACATTATGTAAACCCTTTGTAGTACTTTGCATCTGACTCTCTTCTGGAGCCATCCTGTGCCATTATCCCCACTATACTTCTTGGAAGAAAAAAAAAAATACCAAAAAAACAAAAAGCTGCTAAATCCTACTCCAATAGTAAAATCCACTGCCTACATTGAAGTCTGAAGACTATAGTTCAAGAGTATTTTGATACCTCACTATATGCAGTGTGCTGGTAACTCAGCTGTTAGTTATGAACGTAAATCTTCCTGTATTAACTTCTTATCAGTCTCACTCCCAACCAAAATAATAATAATGATAAAAAAAATCCTGTATTTCAGAGCTCTCTTTCTTAATTGGCTTTGCAGTGGAACTTCATAAGAAAACAATTTTAAAGTTGGGAAAGGCCACTGATCTAAAACAAACCAACAAACAAGTTCTGTGAGAAGAAACGTAGAAATAATTGGAGTGGCTCACTGCCCTAAGAAGCTGTATAAAAACAAACAAACAAAAAAAGAAGAACAATCAAAAAAAAAAAAAGAAGAAATGCTTCAAATATTTATTCCTTCTGTAAATCACACACCTTAGAAAGGAGTATGGAAAAGCAGCTATTCCTCTCTCAGGCTCATCCACATCGTATTTGTTATCTCCAGCCTACAACACAGAAATAACATCTTTCTTATAAATGCAAATACACAGCAAATTCTACCACTAAAATGAACCTAATAAATATCAGTGACCAAGCAGTCCTCCAAATTTTATGTCTTTTCTAAGAAACTTTCAGTAAACTGAAACACATGGCAGCAATGAGTCATCAGTATTGACATCTAAAATTTTAGTCAGGGGATGTAATAGATTTCTCCCTTGAAATGGCAAAAATGAATCCTCTGAAAAAAGAAGAGTAACAAAAATACGGTATGCAAAAGCAGGAAAATGCAGTCTAGATCACATCCCTTGAGCTGCATGCACAAAATTGATGGAAAGTGAAGTTGCTGACTGCATGCATTTTAAATTATAATACTCTGAAAAAGCTACTGTAAAGCTCCAGGACTTACTGCTGTGACTTACAATGGCCAAAGAATAAAAGCAGATATAACAGTATGGAAAGTAAATCAGAAGTTCTTGATGGAACTGGTGTGAAGCCTTCTGAATAATCATTTGTGTTTCTCAATGAGGTCAACTGCAGATGTAGATCAATTCAGGTGTAGCTACTCTTCCATTTTCAGTAAAGCTATAAAAACATTTTCTCTCATCTCATCCATAATTAATTGTCTTATTAAGGCAGAGACACAAAGAGTCTGATCTTGTAGCCCTTATTCCGGAAGGAAGTCCAAACGTATCTGTGACTGTAATATAAAATGCTACGAGCAGGTAGAATTTGAAGTGGTATGATTGCTCATTACAAAATTCAGACATACTAAGCAACACAGAAAGCAAGCAATAGCAAGGAAAATATCCTTGCTTACTGGTTTGGTTCTTTACTCAGAGGAAGGGATTCCTTGGTTCCAATTCTTTCATCAAAGGCTTTATGTATTCGTTATCCAATGTAAAAATAGAGAAAAAAGTTGTAACAGACACACTTTATTCTGCTGAAAAATTATGTACCAATTTTCTATGTCCTTAACAGATAATTAAGCACGCCGGTGCACTTGTAAAACTGGAGGGACAGGGTACCTTTCAAAAATTTTGTAGTGTTCTACGCTCTCCTGACACATCTAAATATTTTTTTCCTGCTGTTTCTGCTCATTCTTCTGAAACTCTCACGTACCTCCACATAACTAATTCATCTCATGACAATAAAGAAAATGAAACTTAATTCAATTGTATGTCAGAGATGAAGTATATACCCCAAAATGATGCCGAAGGGTGTTGGAAAAGTATCCTGACTGATAGATAGATGATTTCATTACCTTAACTGTCATCTTCTGCTGTTCAGTCATAACTTTTCTCCCAGATGCTTCGTCTGTAGTTGGAAAGCTACAAAATTTAGAGATATGTTAGATAATATATCTAAAATAATTTCAGAGTAATTATTCTGCCTCTATACATATGTAAATGAGAACAGAATTGGTTGCTTTTATTAAGATACAGTTATAACAGCTAAATGCCATGGTTTCAAAATAAAGACTTAAGTTCTGTACCTGATCGCATCAGTCTGTGTTTCAGCTTCCACATGCCGCTTGCAGCGATTTTTTCTTTTCCTTCGAGCAGGAGTGTAATACCTGTAACCTGACAGGACGGATTTAGCATCTGATATTAACGTGCGTGGAGTAAAAGGTTTTCGGCTTCCAGTAAATAATTCAGAGTGCCTGTCTAGAAGATCCCCACTGTATACTTTGGGGTTCCTATCCTGATGCCTCTGGGAACGACCGATGCTCACAGAACTATCAGAAGAGCAACTGCTTGAAACTCCAGAGTGTTTTCTTGGTGTACTTGACATACTGACACTTGAGTTTGAGTTAGACATGTTAGATGTATTCCGAGAGTGTTTTCTGGTATGTTTTACTGGACTGGAGTGAACCAAACCATGCTCTCCATAAGGTAACAGTGCTCTTGACAGGTACCGTGCATGCTGAACAGAGGGGAACAGACTGTCTTTGTCTTCTGCTTCCAAGGGACTCTAGGAAAAAATAAAACATGATTTGATTGGTTTGCAACTTACCAGCTTTTTTCATGTTGGCACTTGCAATTATTATTGCTACCAACTTGGAGGCATTTTCTGTGTAAAAAAAGAATCCAGTTTTCTAAAATCCAACTGGTTTCAGAGCAGCTCCAGTGCTAACAAGTCTTAACACCTTTATGTGGAAAGATTGGTGCTTTCTTATAGAATAGCAATGGCTACATCAAACCAGGAGGTTCAATCATTTTAGTCCAAAAGCACAATACATTTTTAAAAGTCAAGGAACTAATAATTGTTGAATTGAGGCACATTATTTTATATGGGTATGCTCTGTTTGCACTGCCTGGGGCAAAGGAAGGTAAATAGACTTTATCCACAATTATCGTGCTGACTAGTTCATACTATCTAGATTTTCTTCAAGTGTGGAGTTGTTGCCTTTTTCTCCAAATCCTATTAACTTTATCAAATGCCAGCTATCTTTATAAGATGTACATTTGGTAAGGGGCACCACTCACCGACTCATCTTAGACCAACATGGAAACTACTGTAATGTGGCTTAAGACACAGAGTAAGAAAATTTGTAGCTAGCTGTTTGTTCCTCATGTAACTCTCTTATTTTGCCTATAGGTGGAAGATTCACATATTTGATAGGGCTGTAAAATTTTTTCCAATTATTTCAATTTTAGTAAGGCTAAGCATTGAGTAACACCATGCTAATGACAGTGATAAGAACAGAACTAATAACCTGAAATCAAAATTTGAAAACTAAGTAGGTCATTGAGAAGTGTTAAAGAAAGAATTATTTGGAAAGATCATATTACCTTTTTCTGCTTTCTGAAAAAAAAAAAAAATCTTAATGCTTAAAAATTCATCAATATTCCTGAACTGTATTATGACACTGTGCCAAAGCTAAGACAGAAACATAGCTAAATCTAACCGGCATTTGAAGACTATTTATTTTTTTTGTAAGATGAGAAGGAACAATTCAATAGAAAGAAATTTGATTTCTAACCGAAGAGAATTTTGAAAAATTTCCAAGTTAAAAATTTAAATACATGGGCAGTGTATGTGTGCTAGTAAATGTGCTTCATAATGTTTCTGAACAGTTAGGAAACATCTTAGCAATACAGCTGTTGTGTATACTTTTCCTACCTAACATACAACCATGCATTGAAAATGTTATCAGTGAAGGTTATGCATGACATTTTATGACCTCCAAGGATGGCCATATTGCAGAGTTAGGAAATTAAACCAGAAGCCTAAAAGCAAGAAAACATTAAACAATACACCTAAGAGTGTTGTCCAGATGCTTCTTAACTCCAGCAGGTTCAGTGCCATGATGACTTCCCTGGGGAGCCCACCCCAGTGCCCATCCTCCCTCTGGGTGCAGACTCTTTCCCTAACCCCCAGCCTGACCCTCCCCTGTCCCAGCTCCATGCCGTTCCCTCGGGTCCTGTCGCTGTCCCCAGAGAGCAGAGCTCAGCGCCTGCCCCTCCGCTCCCCTTGTGAGGGAGCTACAGGCCGCCATGAGGCCTCCCCTCAGCCTGCTCTGCTCTGAGCTGAGCAAACCAAGGAACCTCAGCTGCTCCTCATACGTCTTGCTCATATGTCTCTAAACCATTCACCATCTTTGTAGCCCTTGTATGTTCTCTAATAATTTTATGTACTTCTTATATTGTGATGCCCAAAGCTGCACACAGTACTCAAGGTGAGGCCACATCAGTGCAGAGGAGAGTGGGACAAATCTCATGGCCACACCATGCAAGCAGTATAACACAAGACTAAATAACAGCTAAAATAAAATAACATCTGACACAGCCCAATTCAAAATCAACAGCTACAAAACCAAATCAAATCAGTTCATGTCTAATTAAATAGTCAGACCTCTTAAAACGATGATTTTACTGTTCCTTACATTCAGTTCACATAGCTCCAGGGAAACTGCTTCACCAAATGCTGTAAGATTTAAATAGATGTATACGAATAGAGGTGTTTCATAAGAAAATTCAACTTCTACCACAGAAATTAACTTGTAGATATGCCTCCACCATCTCAGCAAATAATAGGAACTTTGCAAGGTAATCAATAGCTCTGTGAGACTTCTGAAGCCTCCCACTTGGGGGATGTAGGTGTGCTGCAGGAAAAGTAGAGACACTTGGAAGTCCTTGTACGTTTGTTGAAAATTCATGACACTGTAGCCTAATAATATACAGTGTAGTATAATTATATATTACTAGTAAGCTGGTAATATATATTAAACTATGTAATACATAGTATAGCTTGTAAATACGCACAGATCTTCTATTCTACCATTCAATTTCTAAACAATGTGTTAAAAGTTCTGAGCAATGATTTTCACTGTGTAAATGTTGCATCATCTCATAAACTGCAACTGCTATTGCTTTGAATCTACACTATTCTATTTTTTCTCCTTTCAGAACTGCTTGGATTTTAAATTAAAACTCAAAATAAATAATATCCATTTTGCAGTATGCAGTAAATGCTGTTTAAGAGGAATATTAAAAAATGCAATTAGTTTACCATCAAAATGAAATCACAGAACACACGGCTGTCATGCTGTATATTTCCTTCACAATTCTACACAATTTCCTCCAAAATCGTTATTATCTATCCATGCTGTTCCAGTACCCCAAAATATGCACAACTGCTGATGCAAAGAGGCAATCTTTTTTTAGTTAGCTGAGCCAAAATAAGCCTTTCTTGATGGTGTCTCACATTAGCAAACTTAATTTTACTACTACAGCACAATTAAATGCTGAACTGATAACATGCAGCAACAATGCCAAACAAATGCCTGTGTTAGCAAGCAGCGTAATAAGGCTTACCAGTGTGATTGTTTGCATATAAAATAGTTGCAGTGGCAGCTCAACACTACAGAAAACAGATAAGACTGGAAAGTTTCAGAATCTACCTAGATAGGTATTTTCAAAAGCTAATTCCACACTCTTCAGTAGGTATTATAAACAGCTTAGTTTTTGTTGTGTACTTTTTACTCTCAGTGATTAAAATAGTTTGCGGTGCTGCAAAATAAATCAGATTGTAGAAGCATCAAACAGGATGATGACTGGTGCCTCACAATATACAAACAACAACAAAGAAAATAAACCAAGAGATGTTAATGTGCCAACTACTCATGAAAGCCACATGTTCTGTTTCTTGGATTCAGTCGAGCTGATTCTAAAACAAAACAAAAGGATATGGTAAAAATGACAATATTCTAAATTTAAGCCTTCCTCATTTTTGAGGAAGCCTAGGACATTATTTTTTTTTTCTTCTCAAACATGTTATAAGTAGAACAGTAGCCAAGGTATTGACTAGCTAGTAGAACCACAAACCACAGCCAGATTTGTGTCAACCTTGAGATGCATTCATTCGAGTACTGAGAAAGATGTCTTTGAACCCCTTTTCCTAGGCTAAACCTTTAACGCCCAAACAGAAACAGGCAGGGAGTAAAGCCTTTGGATATACAAACAGTATCAGGAACAAGGAACTATCTTGCTGATTTCAAAAAAGACTTTAAGGAATGCAAGATAATGTTTGTTTGCAATTTGTCATTGATGTTTCAGAAAATTACTTGCATGTCTCTTTTGGTATAGGCAAATCAACTGTAAGCTAGTATGTCAATTTTCTTCTCTAATCTGTATCTGCAAAAGCATCAGATTTTTACCTGGAAAAAAGAGACAAAACAGACCTACAAATATGCAGTAACACACTAACTGAATTTTTCACTCTATTCTTCTGACACAATTCAAAAAAATTTATCCAATGGTAGTACCATAGATTTGGACATTAGCACTAGCACAAGCTGTTTGTGACTCCAAATTATGTGACTTACAGTGACACTTCTCTTACTTTCCAATGTATATTCCTATTCTGTTGATTCAACCAACTGTAATTTGTTTTGAAAGACAAAAAAATTGCCCTATGATATATTTCAGCAATAATTACCCCCTTAAAAAGATTTACTAAATTAAATACTTATTTATCTATTTATTATCACAACTCTGTGGTAAATGGAATATCACTTGCAGCAACCTCGTATTGAGAGGAACCCTGAATTTTCACGGAGTCTGTGAAAGTTCAGTCAAAACAAATCAAAGCATAAGGCTCTGGTGTGATGGGCAAGAGAAATAACAGAAAGCAAGAATCCAGATTTTTCTTTAAGTTACTTTTACTTCCTAAGAAAGGTTTACTTTCTTAGCTCAAAAGACACTGATGTATCAACTGCTAACAAAACAAACAAACAAACAACAACAACAAAAACAAACAAACAAACAAACAAAAAACAAAGTTACAAAGGAAAGCTTGCTAAATCTATCTCCATGTAAAAAGTCCAAATACACCTCTCACTGGGGCCACTGATGAGTTTAGGTCTTGACATTATATATACTTCATAATACTTCATCTACCGTTGTAAAACGAGCTCACAGAGACACTTTATGAACCATACTGCCAAGATGCAGAAGCTGTGATTTTGTAATAAATGAACATCTCATTCTTTCAACTCAACATAGCTCAATTAAAAAGCCACTAATGTTGCTGTAAGTCAACTGAATTCCTGCCCTCTGCTGCTTGGACAGAGCAAAGGTCTAATTTGGTAAGCAACTGGCCTTTACATTTGCTGCTCCCACAACCCTTTGTATGTCACATGTTCATTTTGTTATATACTTTGATATTTACTTAAAAATTGAGAAACATGAGACAGACTATTCACACAAACCTGTGAACAAGTAAGACCTGAATGAATATAATCAGTTTGCATACTGTCAACAATAATGTGTGTTATTCTGTTGTGTAACGTGATACATCCCTATTTTCATCAAGGATCCTGATACTATTAAGAAGGATATTACTGAATGTGCATGAAGAAATGTATTAAATAAAAAAAACAGCATGAGAGATGACTGTTGTTATGAAGCCAGCAAGGAAATCTGTACAGAGCATTCCTGATGAAAACAGATTTCTTCGGTGTTCTGAAG